CCCTAACTTGAGCAGGTGTTTTTCAGGGTTTCCCACGAGAGTTGAACTTCAACATTTTAAAGCATGTTATTAGACACCTTTACAAGCATATTGGTGAAGAAATTGTTTGGTAATGATTTAGTTTTTCCCTTACTATAAAGCTCACAAGGTTGGGAGAGGAGCTGTCTGTCAGTGTGTTGGCTGACAGTGCACTTATGATTTCAGTTTTGGCTCTAATTATTGCTTTATAATCTTATTTTTGTAACCGGGTCGAAACCGACCCTAACATCACAAACGTTAGAATTTCAACTGAAGCATTTTAAAATTTAGTAAAAAAAAAAAAATGTTTTTGTTTTATTTTGTTGAAATAGAGGTTCCTGACAAAGTCAAGAAACGTCAATGAAACTAACACATTTCTGTGGTTCTTTCATACACTTAAAACTTAAAAACAGGTCGCTGGCGACCCTAACACAGGAGGAGGGATACAGGCCCTAAAGTAGAAGCTCACTGCAACAAAAGTGATACATCTGTGATTTTCAATCAGCCTCATCACATTAACATGCTTATGAAATGACCTGTGAACACCAGAACTTTCTCAGTTAAGGACCTGTGGGCTGTATCTATCTGCATGTGAGCATCAAAACTCCACATGGAAAAGAATTGTCACAGGAATTGAAAAATATGAAAGGTAAAGCTCAAAAAAATGGAACAGGATACAGTAAGATCGGCTACCAACAACAATTGTAGCAACAATCAGGAGGTTGACAGAGAAACTGTGGACAGTATGGGATGCTTCAAAGACTTATGTAGGAGTCAAAATAAGTACTTGCCAAAGAAAAAGAAAAACAAGGAAAAAATAATAGGGTTAAAAGAAATGGAAAAGGCACTAACATATCACCATGCTGACAGTCTTCTGATGCAGATTTGTGAATTGAAAGTTTTAGTGAATAATTTTCCCAATGAAAAGGTAGAATGAGCTTTGTGTAGACCAAAAAGTAACTTTTACATAGGTGGAGGTAAGGCAGGTAAACTGCTGGAAAAGCAATTGAAACAGAAAGATAGCAGCTTTCTGTAACCAGCAAAAAAAGAAGAAAAAAAAAGGGTGAATAGTGCTCGGGGCATGAAAGTATCGAAACACTTCTATCCTACAGTTTATGAATTTGAAATAAATTAAATAAAATGACATAGTGATACCTTTTTAGTCAAAACTGTCAAACGACCAAATGGTACAAACTGAGGAAGCAGTTTGAACGCAGGAAATTAAAAACAGTACTTTATCGCTAAAGTAAGCCAAGTAGCAGAAACGGATAGGAAGATACCAATATGATCATATAAAAAAAGCATGTTACTATACAAACACAAATATATTGAAGGTACAAAGTTTCTGCTATGTAGTATCTGTTGATATGTACAGGTTGAAGAATGAAGGCAGCCACTGACTAAAGAGAAATCTCCACAAAATGCTAAATATGACTTCTTTTTCTTTTTCTTGCTTTTTTTTTTTTACTTTATGCTCATTTATCTAATTACTTTTCAACCATTAAGCTTTTGGCACTTTGTGTTAAAAGGACTTTACGGTTTTCCTACAGCTCTTTTCATATTGACTTAAAGTTACTCGGCTTAAAGCTGAGACTTGTCACTTTGATGTAGTATCAAATATTTCATTTTTAACTGAATCAGTTGAACCACAGAATCTGGAAAACAAATAGAAGGTATGACTTTCTAAAAAGTCATAAACAAATACACAGAAAGATAAAAAATAACTATGTTAATCTTTAATTTGTTGTAACTTTGATTGTTGGAAATAGTGCCGATAGATGAGTTTGTCTTGGTGTGTGTTTTTATTATGATGCCTACTATCATATGATGTAATTCATATTAACCTGGTGAAGTGGACTTTGAGCTGTCATCAGACCTAAATCTTTGGTGTGATCACTTCATCAGGCACATTCAGCTACTTCAGCCTCAATGTTGACTTTTGAATATATTTTCTTTTAATAGCTCCTCACTCACAGTCCATCCTCAGATAGTCATTGAGCAGCTGGAAGAGGGGGAAACTGTCCCAGCTGTCAGGTGGCTGAACTTCAAGAGCTGCATCCATGTCGGCTGAGTAGAGACACAGGAAGGTCTCAGCATGCTCCACCATCAGGTCTGACCACCACGCAAAGGCCTTCAGATGGAGAAAAGGGAAGACAGAGAGGGAAAAGAGATAGAATCCAGAGAGTGGAAGAAAATCAAGAAGTTGACAGTGAAAGAAAAAAAAAAGTAAATTAGAGAAAGGGAAAATACAGTCTAAATACTCCCCAATGGAAATATCTTTGATAATTTACAGTTAACACTTTGAATCTAATTTACCAGAAAAGTTAAACATATAATGTAACTCCACTGATCTATTGCAATGCTCTTGACTCTCTTATTTTTCACCATGTGAGATCGAGTTGTTCCTTCGATGACTTCACTGCCTGGTCTCTGGGGGAGGATTCATCACAACTCAAAGCAGAAGCGACAGTGCTTGGGCACGGAAAAATTACACACTTTTCTGTTGGCCCACAGAGGAAACAGCAGCAGCTCCTTGACAAGCATGGCGGGGAGCTACTTAAACACTCACCCGCAGATCCTTCAGTGAGTCAATCAGAAGAAAGGAGCTAGCGAGCTGTACCACGCTTATATCTCCCCATCCAATAGATGCAGTGAAGTGTCTGTTAGGGACTGGGCAACTCTCATGCACATCAAAAACAGTTTTCTCCATGCACTCCCACTCTTGCTGGGCCTCTTAAGAGGGACCCCTGAGGATCCATGGTGTTTGCTCATTCACATTAAGTTTTCAACACTGTAATGTGAATGTACCCACTGACATACGTGGTGGTTGGGAGGAGGCTCATGCATTTGCTATGGAAGCAGTGGATATTTGGTGTGGGATACTTGGGGGAAAGGTACTTCCAGTTAGTGCCACTCATGTAATCATCATTTAAGCATTTGAGACTTTTTCAATATATATTTAAGTCATAGAAATAGGAGGGAAAAAAAGAAGTAAATTTAAAACATGTATCAGGATCTTTCTTAAACCATATCAAATATTTGAAAAATGAGTCTGGAATAGACTCTTTTTCAACACTCTTCTGTAAAGTACTGGTGGTGTTTCAACACTTTATGTTTTACTTTCGACCAGTGGGTCAGTTCTACAACTTATTTAAACTGAATACAGTAATTGGCATGAAAGTCGAAACTGGTGAATAAATGAGAGGCACAAAATAGGGATAGAAAATATGAGCAAAAACCGACATTAGAGCCACATAAGTGAAAATTGTTCAAAGCCCATTGCATTGAATTGTAATAATCAAGTATTTGTAAAAGTAAATAGACAACAATTAAAAAAACATTAAAAAACTGTGCATAGCAATATTTAGGTTGGAGTCTACATCAGTTAGGCTTGTTCCCCAGTGTGCTCACATATATGAATCAAGAGCGTAATGAATTTCACTGACATGAAAGGGGGGTGATCATGTTGTGTTTGATCACAGAAAGCATGCCTCACATGTTTTTCCATTGTGCATATTGATGAATCCAAAGGAGAGAATGACTTTTCTGCACATTCGGAGATTACTCACTGGACTGGTAGAATAAATGATACATGACTAAAGAAAAGTTAGCTTATTACATATGAGTTGGGATAGACTCCTAGAATACAAGGTACAGAGTTGCAACAAAAAAAAATTACACATTCAGTATCAAAAGTCATAACTCTGCACTTTGCTTTCTCTGAGCATAGGTTAATGAGTTTGACAAATAAAACACACTGCCTAAGTGCTTGTCCCTTGCTCCTCATTACCAAAGGCAAAAATGTTGTTAGCTTCGAAGCTAACAAGCACTGCCACAAGCACTTGATTAGCAGTGACCACAAGCTGAAAGGGGTTCAGGTCATTGTTGAGAAGGGAAACATTAATGATCTTCTACAACAACAGATGTGTCATTAAAAGCATGCACAGGACTCATAGTAGGGGTAAGGTAGGGGATGGGGCAGATGGCACTAAGACAGTCACATACCTCTTTTCCCTGTTCAAACAATTCCCCGCAAACCAAATAAATCATTGAAATAAAAAGCAGAGAGCGTATAAGTCAGCTTGTTTTTGTTCAATAATGAAGTGACAAAAGTAGAGTAGGTAAATGTGCAGAAATCAAAGTAAAAATGCAGAAAGATTTGATAGGTAAGAGCGTTTTAGATTTTAAATCAGAGCAAACCTTTAAAATTTCTATTCCCTTCATTAGTGAATCCCTTTGCCCTGTGCTTCTTTTTTTGTCCTTCAGTGTCATTTCAGGTGAGCATTTACCAGATAAACAGAGAAGCTGTGCCATAAGGATAAACCTAACTGATAGTCCTTAACTTGTACTATAAATATGCCTATGCTTTAGTGTGTATACTTGGTGTCGGACCTCCTGTGGGGCTTAGACGCAGTATAATGATTCTAAGCAGAGGGGGCAATGGTGGTTGAATTTCTATTGACCTTTAGCAAACTGAATGTAAACTGTGAAACCTCAGTGAAGACTGAAATGACATTTTTGGTTTAATGTACCACTTGATACTTATCTTCAGTCAGCTGAACATATTTGGATCATTTTAAAAACTGTATTGGAGAAACAGTACATAAATTATTAAAAAGCCTGCACAGATTTGTGTTTCTGTTATACTCTGAACATAAACCAAACACTGCGGCTGATAAATCTCTTGTAACAAATTGTAATACAAACTACTTATACCAGCAAATACACCAAAAAGTGCTACAAGAAGAACAGTCTCTGAAGATGGGCAGAAATGTGTACAACAGGGTATCCTCCATGTCATAGAGGAGGATTGAGTCTGTCATCAAAAATAACTGTGAACAATGTTGACACCATTTTGAGTCTTTTGATATTTAGTAAGTGATAGTGCACCTCTGCTGTACAGCGTATTTCTGAGACCAACTCAAATTAATCAGAATTTCTGTAAACATACAAGTATTTGCCTGCTCTCTGATTATCACTTGCAGTCCTGTGACAAGACGGTTAATTGTCAAACTTTTTTGTATGAATACGTTTATCATTATGCCTAAGAAACTGAACTCTAATTTGACAAGTAAAAAACACGAACATATCAACATGATGGATGGAGTGCTTTTTCCTTAGATAACTACAGCAGCTAACATGGTTGTGTGGACGTAGATGGATCTACGTAAAGTTCTGTTACACTGTGATGATGCTCATGATAGCAGTAGCTAAGAGAGCTGATACAAGCTCAAGCTATGTTGCTTATTAGCTTTAATTAGCACAACTTTTCAAGTCTCATTATTGCTGGCCTCTCATGAACAGTGACTGCTCCTTCCACTAGACATACTGCCATTAGACTACAGGTGTCTGAGTGGAGATGAATGCACCTGTACTGACATACTGACCTCAGCATGGTGTTCCTCATTTTGCTGAAGCACTTCAATCACCAGTTCGGACAGACGGATGGTGTCCTCCAGTTTTTTGGCAGGGGTGGCTAGCCGTCCTACATTCTCTGGAGTACAAAAGTTGAGAATCAGTGAAGGCAGTCCCTGTGCCTGATCAGTATCTGTTCTTTCTTAAACAGAGGCTGATACTGGATGCATGCACTGTAAAGTTTATTAAAGCAAGCATATGCACTGACATGTATCTTTTTGATACAGTATTTAATTGTATGAAAGTAACCAACATGCATGTTATTCTGCCTACTCCCAAACACTGGGGCTAAAGGATTAAGCCACTCACAAATATTGGATATAGGTATTGCTTCAAAAGTGATGCTTAGTCCAGTCTATAGCCTCATCCTGAATCATTGTGAATATCTCATAGTTGTAAATACAAACATGAAATGTTGTCTTGTTATAATTAGGGCTGGGCATTAGACCTCAATACTTTTGGACTAAAGACTAAATCAGGTTTGCCACACTGAATGCAGTCAAGGTCAGATTGCTTCTTCAGATGTCTTATATATATAATCGTGTTTCTTTTACTCCATAGTTTCTTGAAGTGAAGCTCATGCGCAATATTACACAGATGGTATGTTTAACCCAGCCCTAGTTACAATGCAATTCCAGGGTTAGCAATTGCATATTGTTAAAGCAACTTTTGCATCAACACTAGTTCCCTAAGCACTGAAAGCAGTGTTGGGTGGCTACATGTAGCAATGGCTTGTGGAATGTAACTAATGAGTCACATCTCTGCCACTGTGACAGTACAGTATTAATGTCATCCAGAGAAATAATGGGCATGATGAGCAATGTATACAGCATGTACACTGAACACTCATGCAGTGACATGGTCATGTTGTGCTTAAATGAACAGTCTCTCAATTAGTTTACAGTTGGATTGTTTTGGATGCTGGATTTGCATTTCACTGTACATTTTGTTAGACTAAATATATACAGATGAGCCGAAGCATTCTGACCGTTCATAATATGAGTAATGTTAACTATCTTGTAAGAAAAAAGATAAAATAAAAAAAACATTAACCTCCTTGGTGGAGGAAAAATGTGATAAAGATGCATGTCAAAGTCCAGGATATATTATATTGTAAGTAGTCAGTTGGTTGTTGACAGTCAGGACTCTTGAATGTTGGAGAAATAGGCAGGTGTAAATTCAATTCAAGTCAATCCAATTCAATTCAATTCAATTTTGTTTGTATAGCGCTTATTACAACATATGTCATCACATAGCGCTAAAGACCTGAGCAACTGTGACGAAGGCCAAGTCATTATGGATAGAGTCAGACAGTCTCTAAAAAGGTAGGGCTTGTGGGGTGTTTCTGGTCTAAAAACTAATGGGGTATTAGCCGCGTGCTGGAATAACTTATAAGACTTGAAAGATCTACTGCTAAAATGCTGGTGCCAGACGCCACACGGCACCGCAGGGTTCTTGTGTGTTTTCGTGGTTTACAGAGAACCAACTGCATTTTAATTTGGGATGGTCACTATGTGTCAGCTCATCAGTGTAGACTGCATTGAATGGAATTTTAAATTGATACCCTTTTGGGAAAGGATAGAAGTTGTTCTGTTGCCAGAAGATGTACTTGTTTGCTATTTGTTGGCAGATGCCAGGTGGGATCAACTAAACATGGGTTCAATAGACTGGTGGCCTTTATGTGAATTAGCTGATTGGGGAGCTTCACATACAGTTAAAACCAGAAGTTTATGTACACTGTATAAAAAGACACATAACTCTTTTTTTTTTTTCACTGTCTGACATCAAATCAGACCAAACTTTTCATGTTTAAGATCACTTAGGATTACCAAAACTATTTCTATTTACTAAATGTCAGAATGATGAGAGAGAATTCTTTAGAGAATTGTTTTACTACTTTCTTAAAAGTCAGAAGTTTACATACACTAAGATTAGTATCTCTTCAAACTATGTGGGAAAGCCCAGATGACGATGTCATGACTTTGGAAGCTTTTGATAGGTTAATTGACAACATTTGAGTTAATTGGAGGCACACCTGTGGATGTATTTTAAGGTACATCTCAAACACACTGCTTCCTTTTGTGACAACATGGAAAATCTAAAGAAATCAGCCAAGATATCAGGAAGAGAATTGAATTCATCCTTGGGTACAATTTCCAGAAGTCTGAAGGTTCCACATTCATCTGTTCAAATAATTTCATGTATAAACACCATGGGAATGTCCAGTCATCATACCATTCAGGAAGGAGACGGGTTCTGTGTCCCAGAGATGAAGTGTTTTGGTGCAAAATGTGCTTATCAACCCCAGAACAAAAGCAAAAGACCTTTTGAAGATGCTGCTGAAGCTGGTAAGGGTCATTATCCACAGTGAAACAAGTCCTGTACCGACATGGGCTGAAAGACTACTCAGAGGTGAAGAAGCCATTACTCCAAAAGCAGCATGAAAAAGCCAGATTACAGTTTGCAAATGCACACAGAGACAAAGACCTTCATTTTTGGAGACATGTCCTGTGGTCTGATGAAACTAAAACTGAACTGTTTGGCCATAATGACAATCGCTACATTTGGAGGAAAAAGGGGGAAGCTTGCAAGCCTGACAACACCATCCCAACTGTGAAGTACGGGGGTGGCAGCATCATGTTGTGGGGATGTTTTGCTGCAGGAGGGACTGGTGCACTTCATAGAATAGATAGCATCATGAGGAAAGAACATTATGTGGAAATATTGAAGCAACATCTCAACACATCAGATCAGGAAGTTAAAGCTTGGGTCAAATGGGTCTTCCAAATGAACCATGCATACTGCCAAATTAGTTACAAAGTGACTGAAGGACAACAAAGTCAATGTTCTGGAGTGGCCATCACAAAGCCCTGATCTCAATCCAGAAGAAAATTTGTGGGTAGAGCTAAAAGGCATGTGAGCAAGGTGACCAACAAACCTGACTCAGTTACATCAGTTCTGTCAGGAGGAATGGGCCAGAATCCCAGCAAACTATTGTGAGAAGCTTGTGGAAGGAAACCCAAAACGTTCGACCAAAATCATACAGTTTAAAGGCAATGCTACCAAATACTAAGGAAATATATGTAAACTTCTGACTTTGAAGAAAGTAATCAAAAAAAACTCTAAAAAATTCTCTCTTGTTATTCTGGCATTTAGCAAATATAAATATTTTGGTAATCCTAACTGACCTAAAACAGGAAAAGTTTATTCTGATTTAATGTCAGACAGTGGGGGAAAAAAAGAAGGTTTTATGTCTTTTTATACAGTGTATGTAAACTTCTGGCTACAACTGTACTTTTGTCCTGCCAGTGCTGGCAGGGTGAAGTTACAGGGTTAGCTCTGGTGGATGAAGTATATAAATTTAGTACTTATAGTCTATTCCCCTTTGGATTTTAAATCAGTTTTAGATAACTGCAGCTACGATAGCACAGTTCTGTGCTTCTGTTCGCAGCAATGAAGCATTAAGAGAATGTTAGAATTCTAATGTTTCAGCTATGTCTGAAATCCTCTCCATAGCAAAGGCAGTTCCTATATGAACTGTAACCTACACACCCCTGTAGCACCAAATACACAATATGTGTGTATGAATATTGGTCTCTCTGTGTTAGCCTTGTCATGGACTGGCTGTCCAGGCTAACAGATTTTTATATGATAGGGCAAAATCTGTTAGGTGAGATTTGGGTACACTAATGTCATCACAATTTTCCTGAAAATGTGCTGTGACGTTTCTGTGACTATGTTGATCTTTATGACGGGTTGGTGGCGTTGTAGCTTAAGGGTGCTTTCTGTTAAGGAACAGGCCAACACCAGAGCTTAGACATACAGCACAACATCACCTGGATCCTTCAGTGTTTCTGAGATTTCTCTCCTAAACAAGAGTTAAATATAAAGACAAAAGAAACAGGTTGCGAGGTTGGAGAGAAGATGGTGAGAGGTGGGAAAGTGTCAAGTAGAGGGTGAGAAAGAAGACATTACTATTCAGTACAGGTACTATACAAATGTAGTGAAAGACTGGATTCATAAATAAAGCTAAATCTTTGACTGACTTCTTCAGGTACATTTTGTAATACATGAGACTTTAGAAGAATGAAGAAGAAAAGGTCAGAAAACTCAAAGCATCTTCGTTTCACCCTGCAATCAAGTATAGGAAAACTTTTTAAAATAATATAATACATGCAGTCTGTATCAGCATTTCATGGTTTCATTGAAAGACCGACATGCTTACGATGACAGATGTTTCTTTCAACGGGCTGACAACTGAAGAAGATATCCTTTAAATAACTGCTGGATGTCCTGTGTGTACCACAGTCTAAAACATTCAACAGGATTTACATACAAGCAAAGTAAAAATGCATTCAAGTCACAGACAAACAACGAACAGGTGGCAGGGCAGGACAAAAAACTATCTCACTCAAAGGAGGAAAGACTAAAGCAACATACAACCAAACCAAAGGATGTCAGAGATGACAAAAATTTGAGGTTGTGCATATGTTCGGAGGAGAAAAAATAAAAGATGCATTGGTGGCGGGTTGGGGAATGACAAAGGTACTCACGAATGGTTAAATCCATCACTTGAGATGCCAAGCAGAAGACAGGATGCTCATACATCTCTCTCTTTTTCCCTACAGAGAAAGAGGGAGGATACTGAGGCATGCGAAAGCCCATGGTCAGAGAGGATGAGCTCAGGTGACTGGGGTTTGATCGATACAAGATTTTGTGTTGCGAATTAATATCTTACAATTTCACGAATTCCATCCCAGAAAAGCAGAATTGTGAATGTGTTTGAAAACTAAAAATGTATTCTATCAAAGGTGCAATATGTATCACTTTAAATATGTGGTGTGATTACAGTTCCTTTTATTTACTTTACTGCAGGTTCTAAGTCACACCAGTAGTTTGTTAGCCATTCTTTTTTTTTCCAATTTCTTTACAACTGAAAATTATCTGAGTTTTATTTTTCATTGTTCATATCTGGGTTCTTGCTTCAGGAACTGGACTTTTGAACAAAAAGGAAAAATGACTCATTATTCTTTTCATGACTTGTAGTTAAACTCTTTTATTAGTGGCCAGGGGAGTTCAAAGCTAGCCACAGATTCAGTAGTGCAGTCATCTATGTATGTAGAACATCTGACCATGCAATCATTTCTTGGCTCCCCTATTTTGGGAGAATTTTGAAACCAAAATGGAACATAGGTGAGTGTTATTCCTGTTGCTGTAGGGGGCTGGAGTCTATTCCAGCTGACTCAGGGTGAAGGCAGGGGACACCCTGGACAGGTCACCAGTCTATCACAGGGCTACACTTAGAGACAGACAACCAAGCACACTCACATTCACACCTACGGACAATTTAGAATCCCAATTTAATCTCAACATGTTTTTGGACTGTGGGAGAACATGCAAACTCCATGCAGAAAGATCCCAGGCATCCTAACTGGGATGCAAACCAGGGATCTTCTAGCTGCGAGGCGATGGTGCTAACCACTGAGTCACCTTGCACCTTGCAAATACAGCAGCTTTAATTGTGCAGATTTCAATCAAATCACATTGATATTCTTTTTCAACACTCAGATACTTCCAAGATGCAGTTTGTACGTAAATGTACTTTACATTCCGCCTCAATCTACTGAATGCCTCAACCCTGACCATCTTTAATTTGACAGATTTTTTTTAAAAAGTGGTGAATATTGATTGAGTTGACCATTTGTAACATTTGTTGTTTTAGTTAAAGAATTCTTAAAGAGGGGTCATGGCAATTTTTGCCTATCCAAGCTGACATAGGGTGAAGGCATGGGAGACCCTGGACAGGTCACCAGTCTATCACAGGGCTACACTTAGAGACAGACAACCAAGAACACTCACATTCACACCTACAGACAATTTAGAATCACCAATTAACCTCAACATGTTTTTGGACCGTGTGGGAGGAAGCTGGAGAACCCGGAGAGAATTCATGCTGCACGGGGAGAACATGCAAACTCCACGCAGTAAAGTCCCCCACTGGCGACCTTCTTGCTGCGAGGCAACAGTGCTAGCAACTGTGCCACCTTGCAGCCCTGCCCAAAACATGCTGAGGTTAATTGGTGATTCTAAATTGTCTGTAGGTGTGAATGTGTATGACTCTGTCTCTCCATGTAGCCCTGGGATAGACTGGCGACCTGTCCAGGATGAACCCTGCCTTCACCCTGAGTCAGCTGGGATAGACTCCAGCTCCCCCACAACCCTACAGAGGATAAAGCGGTGTATAGACGATGGATGGTTGTATCTTACACTTATAGCTTATATAAAAGAGGATTTATCAACACATCAACATAAATCCAAATCTAACTCTGCATTTTGATGAAATTATGAAGCAGTTGTCATTCTGTATCATGTGCAGTAAAGCAATCTGCAAACAAACATGTAAAAACTGTTGTTATAACAGTGTATCCAAATCAACTGAACAATTCCAAGGCAAGCAATTAGTCAATTAAAATGTTACAGAAAGCACCTTTGAGAGTTTTTCTCAGAAATACGATCAAATTGCATCAAAACCTCACTTTTCATATCTGATTTTGATGACTCATGCTCATGATTTATTATTTTTTTATTCAGTACTCAAAGCTGCCAATTTATCAGTCTATCCTTTGTTTACACTTTTCAGGCCATGTTTGTGGCAGGGTGGATACAGGTGGCTGAGATTCTGCAAGAATGAGCAAGATGCTGTTGCACTTTTAAATGTGAAAGATGGGTACTAAGCTACAAGTGGACTGTTTCATTGCATATGTGTGTGGGATTTGAGGGTCAGTCAGGCTGTCTACACTGGATTAACCATTCGTTCTTCCAAACATCAATATCAGAGTGTTCTTTTTCCTGTAGGTCAAGATGCGCACCACTATGAAGGAAAGAGGTATTGAGGATAATCAACAATTACAACTGAGATACTAAGGTTCATCTTCCTTAGTGTCTTCAGGGAGGTGATGGTTTCTTTACAGACATCATCTTAAAATGACCGGTTGGAGTAATTCAGTGTTCATTAAACGACAACATTTTGGAAAATGTGCTTGTTTGCTGTCTTGTATTCATTTCACTGTGCAGAAGAGCTAAATAGCTAACGTACCCCTGATTGCCCGTAAGTGCAGATCAAACATTTATATTATTTTCTATTATATCTGACACTAAAAACAGTTAATGAGAGAAAAGGGGACAAAGACTGCAGCAGGCAGTCAACAGTCAGAAACTACACCTTGGTACTGATTTCTTGAACTTTTTTTTGTTTTTTTGTCATTTTTCTGTAATTTTAAGGGGATAAATCAGTCTCATGTGAATGCAATCAAACACATGCTCATTAAAGTGTGTCACATGTTTCTAGTATAAAACTGATGTTACCCAGAGAATAGCCGTATCAGCTCCCAGTACAGAGATAGGTCCTCTACATGTTTAGCCAAGCTTAGCACAGAGACTGTAAGCAGTGAGAAACGATCGAGCCCAGCTCTGGCAAACAGCTCAAAAAACTTTTGAGCTCAAATCATCCAGAGGGTTCCAGGTCATTCTCTCAGCTTCCTATGAAAAAAAATTGCAGGTGATTCTATACCAAACCTGTGAAGAAACTCCAAATATTAGGTCTCCATGTGTAATGGTTATGAAATTACAGCAGATGGAAATTTTAGTTAATTTACTTTAAACAGTACTCCAGATCTGATTACATTTTCTGATTTTTTTGGAGGAAAGCTAGCCCAAGATAAACAGCTTCAAGGCTCCATATGCCATACTCTAAGAGTTATTATAATTATGTAGTTTCAAAACTATTACACATGCAGACCTAATATTTGGGAGTTCATAAGTTTGGTATAGTATCACCTGTTAATTTTTTCAAAGAAATCTGAAACGATGAAATTGACCCACAGACCAAATCTCTGCAGTCAACAATCATTCATTTATCAAGTTCTGGCTAAGACAACAAATAAGCATATTTTCCCGAATGTCAGAAGTTTAGACTTACAAAATACAATATGTTAGGTGAAAGCAGTACCAGATATGGATCTTTCTCAGTTTGGGATTAAATATTTCAGACCTGTCGGTCTGCAGATGCCTCCTAAAGAAAACCTGGAACATGCAACAGAAAAAAAAAACAAAAACAAAAAAATGCCACAAGGGGCAGTCCCATTTTGTCTTGTTTAGTGGCCTTCGTTTTTTAAACAGCAACTAATGAGAAGCAACAAAAGCCAATAGACAAGGAAAATAGGGGAGTGAATATGGAAGTCATCCGAGAGCAAGTGAGAGGAAGGTAAAGAGAGGAAAAAGAAGGAGCATCACCTCAGCTATCAGGAAAGCCGAAGTGGAGGAAAGAGGCAGTGCAAGTCTCAGCTGAAAGAGGAGCTGAGGCATTGCGGACGAAGTCAGCATAAAGACTGAATTGAATGCATTTTTACTTACAGTACATTTTCTACTAAAAAAAAGCAAAATAAACATATTATTTATCACTTTGAACAATTATCATACCATTAAGTACATCGTTAAAGAGATACAGAGGGTTTTTCCTGAAGCTGTGAAGGAAAATTGTGATGCAGAAGAATATACTCTGTTACTGGAAAGATCAAATATCTAAACATCTTTACGTCTGTTTCATCAGTTGATCATATCAGGATTGTATGTAAATCCTACCTGGCAGCTAAGTTTCCACTGTTCATTGCAGCAGTTCTAGTCGTGTCTACATAACTTCACTAGAGAAGCAGCACTATCTTCATCAGTGTTTGACACTGTTATTAATATATTGCTTGATACAATTTGGTAAACAGGTTTTGTCTATCCTTCAGTGTTTTGTATGCTTTCCAATCCAAATCACGTACTGTAACATAGCCAAATTTTGCAATCTCTGCTCCACAGAGACCAAAAATCTCCTCAGCACTGCATTCTGAATATCTCACATCTGAATCCATGTGTGACAACAGGTTAAGCATTATCATATTAACAGCAATACCGAGACAGAATCCACATGCTGTGTTTGTACTACAATAGTATAAGCACAAAGAAGGCGTGAGGGAGCAGTAACTTACCTTCCAGTTTGGCATACTCTGAAAGGCGCTGGTAGTTGACTAGAGCTGCCTGCTCCAGACACTTACGGATCACAGCTTTGACTTCTTCTTGTGGGACCGGGGTGACGATATCTTTCATCAGAACCTTACATTAAAGAAAGGGCAGGACAAAATATTTTTTCTTCTTTGTTTAGCGTTTGTTTTTTTAGGATTCTTATTATTATTATTTTTTTACTGGTGTGCACAAATCCTTTTCTAAGACACACCATTTCCCCTGGTACTGGCTTTACATGGCATCTGGTGCAATCTGTATCTGGACAACCTATTCAGATAAGAGTAAACCCATTTTTATAGGAGGTGTAAATGCACGGGGAACACATTTGGGTCAGGAGGTGGTCACAAAAGTCACAAAACTCCATCTGTCCCTGGTGACTCCAGTAAGACTGACAAAGCTACAGTTAACAGTAATGTTAACTCAGCATTTAAAAAATAACAGGTGTGGTAATGTATGCTCGCTGTATTGGCATTCAAAATGAGTGATGACAAAGAAGGCGTACTTTACAGATTTGTATTGTATATTTTAACTTACCCTTTCAAGCAAAGACAGCGTTGCTTTTAGTGCTCCTTCTGGCCGTCCAAATGGAAAGCAGTACCTGGGGTAGCAAGACAGTACATTTTCATTTAAACAGTTTCATTTAATTGTCCAGTTTAGAAGGATGTCAGTGCATTGTTGGTGTACATGGTTTCTACCTGAAGTGTGTAATCTGGTTTTCCAGAAGCACCCGTAGCCTTTCCTTGATCTCCTCAAAGCGCTCCTTTTCCTCAACGGTCACAGTTCCAATGCCATCAGGCCTGAAAAACAGTGGCATTTACAGCCAATGAAAGGCTTTGTGGTCTCTCTAGGCAGTTTTTCAGTGCCAAGGAAACTAGCAAAATTGTTGATTTTCTTTAGGTATCACTGTTTCATATATGTGGTGGTATATAGTGTAGAAAGGAAAGCCTCTTGATGACTCTCTTATTTAAATTACACTTTGAGGACAATCAAGATATAAAAGACAGTCAAAATATAAACTAAAGTCAGGGCTCAACAGTCACATCTGTACACAGTGGGGGGAATTTAAGTCCGGGCCAGTATTTAGGAGATATTCCATGGTATCTTCAGTGTTGATGTGGTCCACCAAAAATTGTGGTGACACAACACTTTTTCTGAACTTTACCTTGATGAAATAGTCTGAGACTACTTCCATAGAACACAATCCATTTCAGAGTTTCGATCAATAAAATGTTACCTAATTAAAATACAGAGGAACATTCGATTTACCTTCACAACATGAGTTCACCCACACCACAGAAAACAAGTTCTTGCAGTATTTTAAATTAAGAAACCACAGATATAAGGTTTATAGTTATTGGTCCTTGTTGTGACTGTAAATACTGCAACTCAAAGTCCTAATAGCAGACAAACATATCCACCAATGGTCAGTAACAGTACTACAACTGTAAAACCAAAATGAAAAATCTCAGGCTCATCTTTTGCTTGGATAAGGCACTGTGCAGTCATCACCAGACCTGATTTTACTGAACTGTCCTAAAAATGCTCAACTGCAACTACTGGACTTAATGAAACAGAAATGTAGCACACCAATGCTGCATCCACTTTATTGCATCTTAATAACAGATACAGCCTGGTCCTGACACAAGGACCTCAAGGGAGGAAGGTGTTACTACTTCCATCTGTTACCACCAACCCCATGAATCACTGAAGCAGACAGTGTCCAAATGTGTGCATCTTGACCCTAAACATCAGCACAATGCTAACATGCAAAAGACACTGAATTCTCTGAGAGAAATCAGGAAGATGGTGGGATGCAGCTAGACAGACATATATAAAGACTTTAGACACTTGACTGCACATTTTGTATGACCTTTGTATGGCAAATCATTTTGGAGTGGTGTATTATTGTCCTTTGGGACTTTACAGTACTTCACATTTTTTCCCTCAATGTATTTAAATGATTGCTTCAAACACAGTGCCAAATATCAAGTACACAATAAAACACATACACTGTAAAAAGTAAAACTGTAACGGATATCTTCAGCATAAAAATAACTTGTTCATGGTGTTTCCCTCAGAAACTAAATTATCTTCAATTGAAGTAAAAGTGGCAACTGCTCGTCTCCTGTTTCACTGAAAGTGAGTGAGTCCTGCTTATTTGGATCCTGACATGCGATTCATCAAAAAGATAGTAAGTTATGGTAATTTGAGTTCTGTAGTCCTATTGTAGCATCTAACTGCAAGTTACTATTTATATATAATTTTTTTTTTTTAATTAATAACCACTTTCACTTAAAGTTAAAACTTTGAGTTTAGTTTATTAAATATCCAATAAATTGCCGGCCTACCTGCATGTTATTATTAATGTACTGTAATTTTCAGCATGCATTGCATTCAGTTAATTTATTAGTTAATTTGTTACACTTTTTCTGTTCCAGTATTAAATAAGAATGTTGTAGTTTTTCTCTAATGATGCCTGTCCATGATTCATGACCTAACTCTTTTCTCTTCGTCATTTTCATGGCCTGAAAACTCATCAATATAAGGATGAATGAGAATGGGAAATACTTTAACAATACCCTCGGGGAAATAGCTTTATGACTGTTGCTCATATTTTAAAATAAAAATAATAATGACAATAACAATAATTAAATAAAAAAGGAAAACTAAGCAAAAGGAGGAATTATAATCATGAACCAATGTTGTAAAGACTATCTATTGTTACATGCAGCTCCTGCTGGTAGGTCATATTTCATTGATTTCCTCTTTTATTTTGGCATTTCCTGTCACATGTGCTTCACCCTCTGTCTCAGGTGTCTTTACACTCTGCTTTCCTGCCTGTGTGATTCCTCGTCCTGCCATAAAGTGTTCCAACTGTGTGTGATTGTCCTCCCTGGCCTTCCCACGTCCTTTCCATTGGCCAGTTGGTGCACCGAAAGCAGTCTTATAGAGCCACAAATGTCACCTCAAACCACTTCCTCAGTTTTGATGCCCAAAGGCTCACTCATGACCAGTGGAGTGTACTTTGACTGAAGGGGGACCACATTATGGGCTGACCTTCCAAAGGCAGGGGGAACCTGCATTTGGAGGAACCATACTAGATACTGAAGCTGTAGGACTCTTTAACAACAGCATAAAAAAGGTGATACTGATTGTGATTAATATCAAGTAATAGGCACTGTTCTGCAATAAGTTATAAAAAAGACAGTATACAATACAGAGTTGTGTACTTTGTGCTTCATCTCTGCACACACACATAGTGTTTATTTGAATGACTCAGCACCATGCAGTCCAGTGCTTTCTTCTATATTGTTTTTGTTGTATTTTAGTGTATTTCTTTTATTCTTATATAGTTTTGCAACTCAAGCATGTTTGAGCAACTGTTAAAAAACTATTTTCTTGCCAGGGTTAACAATGTTTTTTTCTGATTCTTAACCTTGCAAAAAAATTCATGCAAAATTACTTTTTTAAAACATTTTACTCAGTTAAATTGTGAAAGCATGTAGTAGCGGCAAGTATAGGGCATTCTCTCTCTTATTCCCTCCTTTTCAATACATACATCAATTACAGTTTTACATGCACATGTGTGTATCCAATGTGTTTATCATTTGTGACATGGTTGGGTCTGGGTGGAGTGTGAGCAGAGTGCATGTGACAGAAGAGGTGCTGGACTGGTGGCCATGACAGCATGATGAGAAGCAGGAGACATGACACTCTCCGCTCTCTCTCTCTCTCTCTCCCCCCACCCCTCCTTTGACATGTCATTTCAGCAGACAGTGAGAAACTGTGTGTGTGTGTGTGCGTGTGTGTGTGTGTGTGTGTGTGTGTGTGTGTGTTGGAAGGGTGGGGGGTGGGGGGCGCTCCGTGAGTGCTTTGTTACATTTTAGGCTTTACCAACTTGCTAAGCATCAGTGATCATCTAATCCAGACGCCCGTCAGTTTTCATGGGTATCTGAGCAGGCACCGTCAGTGTGTCGCAGCCACCTGTGGGCCTCTGCTGCTGGAAAGGATGATGCTGAGAAGGAGATGACTGCAGGAAGCTCATGTTTTTCAGTCTGTAGGCTGGTTGCTTTAAACTCAGCAGTAGTCTAAGTGGCAAGATTTCTTAATCATTTTGTCTGTGTTTTTCTAGAGAAGATGTAAAGCAAACAAAAGGATGATACGTTTTCCAAATGTCAACAAGAGGTGCTTATTTTCATATTTTGGAAAGTTTTGCAGAAAAAAAAGTTAACAAACAATAAAAGCAATGATGTCACCCGACATCCTCATGATAACAAATTGGTTAGTGAAATAAAAATAAATAATCCTTCTTCAGCTTTTGGTCCCAGAAGTAACCACCCAGTGTAAGGTTTATGCTACAGCCTCCCTAAACTAACAGCATTGGTAATTACCAAAATCATTTTTTATATTTCTGTAAAGTTAATACACCAGTATGTAGAATCACTTTAACCAAAATGATATTTTTAATGCTAAAATATAATTATTGTTTTCCATGAATTTTCAATTTTACTGTTTACCAAAAAAAAACACCTGAAAAAAAATAGTAATGCACATTATTATTTCTTGATTAATATGTCAAATTATAATTATTTACTTGCATTCCTGAACAGAAAAAAAAAGTTTCAGCGGTTGGATGTGAATGCTTCATTCATTTCTGACTTCTCAGAGAAGCTCAGTGGCTCAGATTTATGTTTCTAAAAAGGTCAGTTTGAAATTCCTCATTCCCGTTCAAAATGGTAAAACGTTGAGAGCTGGGTGGCATTAAAGCACTTCATGATGCTGAATGGTCGATATCGATATCTATCTATTTATCTATCTATCTATCTATCTATCTATCTATCTATCTATCTATCTATCTATCTATCTATCTATCTATATATATATATATATATATACACACACACACACACACACACATATATACAGGGCTCAACAAATTAGACAGGTGGTCCAGTAAATTTGTTAAACATTATATTTCAGTGCATGCATGCTTGTAAAATTGGGGAGTCATTGCCATAGCCAAAAATCATTGTGAAAACCATCTCACCTTTGTCACTGTGACAGAAAACAAAAGAGGGAAATTTCACACTAATTAAGTCCTGCAGGGCTTTCTTTTGTTTCTCTCCAGCTGTATGTTATTCCTTGGCAGCTTCCTCGTGTTTGCCTGACCTGGTGACCTGATAGCTCTGATGACGACAACAAGCAAATGAGCCATCAGTAACAGACAGATGGCGAGCCAGCAACACTTTCACATCTGCACTAACACTGCAATTATGCCATAGCTGCCCTAAATTAACAGCATTGGTAATTACCAAAATCATTTTTTTATGTTTCTGTAATGGTTAAGACACCAGTATGTAGAAGCTCTGTAGCTGAAAGGACATTTTTAATGATAAAATATAATTATTATATTTATCCATGAATTTTCTAATTTACTTTTTTAAAAAAAAAAAAAAAAAAGGAAAGCATATTATTTCTTAATTAAGATGTCAAATTAAAGCTATTTACTTGCAGTCTTGAACAGAAAAATTAGTTTTAGTGATTGCATGTTATGTTTGATTCCTTTCTGACTTCTCAGAGACACCCAGTGAGCCGGCTTAGAGTTGGATATAAAAAGGTGACTTCAGTTTGAAATTCCTCATTGCTGTTAAAAACGGTAAAACGTCCAGAGCTGAGTGCACATTAAAGCACTTCATGATGCTGGATGCAAGGCTTAACCAGTTAGATAGCTGGTCTAATACATTTGTTCAAAACTATTTTTGAACACACACACACACATATATATATGTCTACATACACCCGGGATCTTTCTGTGTGGAGTTTGCATGTTCTCCCCATTTAGCGTGGGTTCTCTCCGGGTTCTCCGGCTTCCTCCCACACAGTCCAAAAACATGTTGAGGTTAATTGGTGATTCTAAATTGTCTGTAGATATGAATGTGAGAGTGCTTGTTTGTCTCTTTGTGTAGCCCTGTGATAGACTGGTGACCTGTCCAGGGTGTCCCCTGCCTTCACCCTAAGTTGGCTGGGATAGACTCCAGCCCCCCACGACCCTCGTGAGGATTAAGCGGTGTATAGAAAATGGATGGATGTTACATTTGCAAGGCATCACCATACTAGAGCTAAGTGTATGTAACATTATATAAATAATATGTATAAACTCAACTCCAAACGCACATGATATATTTAAAATTACCTTAATTTTCAGATCTTCTGTACATTTAATTTAACTGAAAGATAAACACCTAAAATGTTTGTCTATCATTCATCTACCAGAGAGCTAGAATGTAAAACTGTGAACGTAATAACAGCGAATAATCAGTAATAATAATAATCTAGTTCAGTTTTAATCAACAAATTTCACAAGCTATCTTTTGAATAAAATCAAGAGTAGTTGATATTTTGACTTTTTATTTTAAAGGCATTTCATAACAAACAGTGGATCTGAATAGAATTGACATTCAGCTGGACAGAAGTCAAATCCAGACACTTTAGCAGGCAACCGGGCAACCGAGTCCAACTTGGTGCAACAATACCTCCAGGCCAGAAGACTATTAGGAGGCAGGGGTCGGGGTGAGGTATTGGTGTGTGTGTGTGTGTGTGCATATGTGTGTGTGTGTGTGTGTGCATATGTGTGTATTTGTTTGGGTGGGTGGGTGAGTAGAAGGGGTGGTCTGGATGAGGTGTATGCATGGGGGCACACGCAGCAGCATTGGCAGTGGAGACATTCGGCCATCATGCATGACAACCTGTCAACCTGTCATGGCTCAACCTCCAGGCACAAAGGCTGAACCTTGGCAGGCCTCTGTTTGATGTGTGTGGATGTGAATATATGTAGCCCTCATTATTTTTGGATTTTTGAAAAAAAAAAAATTAAAACAAAATATGAATAATCTGTGCTTAAAAATGAATATATGTTGATTTGTTTATGTGGATGTAACATTAATCTGAACTCTTTCTCTCACAACAGAAAAAAAGTCTTGAATGCTCAACCAACATTTTTCTTTTTTTTTTTAATGTAAAAAAGAGCCCTCACATTTTTTCTTCTTTCCACAGATTTTAATCCAACCCCTTTTCTTGTCATATTTGTCATTTGTTTGTCTCTCTCTGTCTTTTTTCCCCTCTCTTTCTCTTGGAGCGACTGTTGTCCATCTGTCCATGCGGATCAGAAAAGGCCTCAGTCCTCCGTCACTGTTTGTCAGCAAGACAATTCGGAAGGATGGATAGATGGAGAACGGGTTTAGTTAGAGGGATGCTGAGGGGAGGTGGAGGTGGGGGACACTGACAGACAGCCCTGCCTGACCTCTGCCCTCAGCGCTGGAGTGGCTCTCTTCTATCTTTGTTTTGCTCTATCCACAGACGGACGACTGTGTTGATGTTGACAGATTTGATGTCTGAGCACATCACAGCAGATTAGACAAGAGGTAAATGGTGCAACTTAGATAATACAGTGCATACTCGAATAAAGGCCAGATGACGCGTGTGTCACAGGCCAAAAAACCTTCAGATAAAGACACCATTTGGTCGTTGAGTGAAAACCACTACCCCTAACTTAAGTTTTGGACCAGAGCCACAGAAGTCTTTGGGTGTAAACATGATACACTGACATATCTGAAACCTCGATTCACTCCAAATTTTTGCTATAATTCTATGTTTTTTGAGATTTAAAATCCGTTCTGGTGCTTTAAACCCATTACTTTGGCTAAACTGCTTGTGAACTGGGGACACTGATGATATTCCAGCAAACAAGCACAAATAGCTGCAAGAGGCTGAAGAACATCGATGATTATGCAGTGGAGACTTCTCAGCACAAGAGGGCCTCCTTCAGACTTTAAAGTATAAGACACCTCACGTAATCAAGCTTCAAAAATTCTACAAATTAAACTTTAAATAATAGGGTTGTGAAAGTGACACTTAAAAATAGGAGGCTTTGAGTTGGCCTTTTCTGAATTGTCAAATTGTACTCCTTATATATACACCCATATTGGGTTCTGCTGTTTATACCGAAGTAGAAAATATTTTTGCTAATTTACTTCCAGCAGTGTTTGTCACAGTCCCGTTACTGTTAGCTACACAATGGGTTCGTAACACTACCTGTCCATTTGGTTTTTTTGACTGTTGGGTCACCGTTGGAATAATTTGTAACTGCTGTAAATTTAGACCTTCTTCCACAAACGTTTAAAGCATTAACTTTTCAGAACCTCGTGTCAAGGTTAAACGCATTGAGAACTCTAACCTCATAAGAGCTGCAGTTTACCTGGAAGATCTTTGAATACATTTAAATTTGATGTTGGACACTTTGGTTGGTTGGTTGGTTGGTTGGTTGGTTGGTTGGTTTTAAACTTGACGATATTTAGGTCTGCACAGGTAATCAGGTTGGAAATCTGTCTATAGCTTCGCTCATTTACCTAAACCACTCTTCAAGAAGTTAAAGCACAGAGCAAATATTATCATGAGTAAATGTTTCATGCCCTGGTTCAGTGGTTACCATGTACTTACTGTAGCTGTGAACAGGACCACCGCATAGCCTGGATCATAAAAACAACTTACCTTTTAATTCCTGAGAAAACTGTGGATCTGAAGTCCTTTTTCTTCATAAACTCAATGATTTTGAGTTCTCTCTTAGCTGTTTGGACAGGGAGCTCAGGGGCAGAGGGGAACAGGGCTCGTTCGAGTTCAGCCTCAGATACTGGCCAGCTTAACAACTGAGACACACGCTCACTAAGTGCGGTTATGTGGAAATGTGAGTTTTGGGGACAGTTGAGGGAAGGTTGTTTTGTGAACAAGGTAAAGAAAATGTTATAAAAGGGAAAAAAGGTAAAAGAAAGAAAAAGGTAAGCATGCAAACAACATGCAAAGTGACAACTGAAAGACATGCCAGAGGTAGTAAATTAAAAAAAAACTTCAAAGCATAAACAACTTCAGTTACTCTAATATAAAATTGTATTTTGAGACTCAGGTTCAGGTTACGTTGGGTAGATTTAGCTTGGACCAGGTGAGTCATCCACCCTCACACATGTTTTACAACCCAGTACAGACAACCAGACAACATGGTACTCAAAGTACAACTATCCCTAAAAATAAAACAAATACATGTATAAATAGCATCCAGGGACAATTTCTGTCAGTGGGGGAAATTAAAGGACAAAGCAATTTGACTTGTACCTGTTTCCGTGGACGTGGGAGGCACAGAAGGCGAAGCTGTAGTGCAGCAGCGTGGGGTCGATCATAGCTCCATTTTCGGCCCGCTCCAGTAGATCGCTGAGGTAACATAAATGCCGATGGCAGCCTCGAACTCCATATCGAGCACAATACTCATCCAAGACAAACACCTGACCGGGACTGAACCAGCCCTGTGAGTTACACACACAAACACTGTTGTGTGAGTGTTCTGATGAGAAAAAATAATGTGTACACACACACACACACACACACACAGAAATGCTATACAAGTTTCTAAGCCAGGAAGCTTGTCATGCAATTCTAGTCTCTGTACACACAGATGTGAAATAAACCAGATCTCCATTCAAATGTAGAAAACCAGCAACAGGAAGTCTGTTTCCATTACCCTTTGTCACATTTTGTTTCCAGTGTTACACCCACTTTTTGATCTTAGTCAAAGGCAAAAAATATTTTGGACTTTAAAAAAAATGTTTTCTGGTGAATTTGTGAGCCCAAAGTAAAATTTGCAAAAAGCAGGTAGAAAGAAACTCACTTACATCCTACCTCGATTAGCAATTGCTCTTCAGCATGTATAAACAGACATTCAGACCATGCAGTGAATCCTTTCCAGAGTAATTTCAATCAAGTGGCCACAGACCTGTGCTCAGATCATGTTGCTCAGACCAAACTTTCCAAGTATGCACATTTAAAACATTTAACAAAGTGTAAGGACTTCAAATTTTTTTTTAAAAAAGTCCTTGTTTCAATTATACAACTTGTAAATCTTTCCTTACCAGGCAGGAGTAGGAGTCGTTGAGTCTGTGGTCGAGGGTGAGGCGTTGTACCAGCTCAAATAGTGAGGCATGGTCAAAATTACAGGGGTTGGCTGAAATAAACTCATCCATGCCATGCTTCTGCGCACGATCAGCATCTATTCCCATCCAAAGGGGACACAGACAGAGAGAAAGACAGAACAGGAGGGTAAATATCATCTTGGCTGAAAAACAGAAATGAAGCTTCACCTTAGGTTTGAAATAATTAATATGTATAATAATACATAACACATAATTAAAACAGATGATCTCAGAAAGTACTTACAATAAAACAATGCTGAGAGCAGTTTTTACAGGTTAAAGGTAAATAATGTGACCAACTAGACCAATAAGATAGCATCATTTATACCAGTACAAATTTTGGAATACCATTCTGTATGGTCAGTTTCAATGTGCATGCACATTTTGATGCACTATCAATCTACTGATAAAAGTACATTCCATTGAATGCTATGCCCACACAAATACAGATTTTGGTTTAATGCTACATCAACATCAAATGGAACAATTAATGACAGAATGAAATCAAGAGTAAAATGCCAGTTGAGCAGGGTAAAGTCAGGTGGACAGCAGAGTTTTCCAGGGATTTATCAGAAGGTTTCTGGTTGAAGGTTCGTTCTGAGATCTGGTAAACGTGTCCATGTTGTGTTCAAACATATTCACAATCTAAATGCCAGTTTTAATCCACACAAGCCACAATATTTTTTGAGGTTCAAGTCTTTTTTTCTTTTGCCTTATGCATGTTACTAAAATGATTTTGCATTGGACAGTGAGCGCTGAAAGCACACTTGTAGTGTATAGCAGAAAACATTCAATGTGCTACATGTAGTAAGGAGAGGACAGCAGCTGCTGCTGCGCTGCTGACACGCTGCTTCACTGTGTGGTCGTTGCAGACAGGGTGCAAGACCTCAAGACCAAGTCAGAGTTTGTGAGAACCTGGAAGATTACAAACACTGACAGCTGGCTGTGCAACCACAGCATTTTACTGCTGCCAGCATGCACTCATGAACATAAAAGTAAGTTAGCGTTTCTTAAGAACACTTCATAAAAAGTTTAAACTAAACTCAGTTGTCCTACTATTGAGTCAAAAATGATGCAACAGTCAGTAAAAATGCTTATTTAAAATCATGTAAATTACAATGGTAAACCACTGAAAATAAGATAACAGCCTAAACGGTTGTAATGGATGGAAAAATAAGGAAGGATGACACAGTCACCAGAAATCAGCATGTTTGACAGTCTAAAAGTTGGCAAAGTATCAACATATGCCTAAATAGCACAATGACTACAGTAGGATCCCTCCATGTCAACTCACCGAGGGCCTCCAAGGTGACCTCATACATTTTCTTAAAATAAATCAGGCAAAAACTTCTACCTAAACCACGGAATCTTGTAAAATCCCACAGCTCTACTCCATTTTCTTTTCTTTTATAGCCTCTCAAAAGCCTCACCAACTGCTTATTTGTCACAGGATTTGGCTGATGTTGTTACTGAATATCCCAGAACCTCAAGAAAAAGTTAGAACTTGTAATGATGTCAATTTATACTGACTTTTTTAAACAGAAAGTTAAATAATAAACATTTTAAATTTATCATCAAAACGAAAAAAAAATATTGTGGGTAGAAACAACTTAGTTTAGTCATGTCATGTCACAACGTCCTCTGGTGCTGCATCAACAATTAACTGCCACAGAACTTTCTAAACAGCTACAGAGCTGGAAAATACACTTGGTAGAACATTTTCATAGTCAAATCAATATCAATGCAAATTTGAAATCAACATAATACAAATACATCATCGTCCATAAAGTTGGGATGATAAATGTTTTCAGACACATTCTTCTTTTTCTTCCTATTTATACACATCAGTAATCCCTTCTGACCAGGTGCAATGATTACATACTGAGTCCCAGTTACCAGGTGAAACCAATTCTGACTTCTGGATCTGACTGAAGAGCAGGACGTCCTGCCTATTGACACCATCAACAAGTTTGTAGACAGTATGCCACGATGTCTTAATGCATTGATCCGTAGCCATACTCAATACTAGTGACTGAGTGACATTTGAAAGAGTGATATTGGACATTTTTAAGTATGAAATCCCCTCAAATATGTGTTTCCTGTGACATGACCAAGGTTGAAAAATTGAAACAAAACCCTTAATCTATTTGTTCAATACTCCCAATTTAGTTTAAGCCTGAATACACAGTTTGTAAAGTTAATTGTGGTTGTGTATTGTATGTGTATTGTGATATTATTAAAGTTTGTCACAATGTCACAATCATTTTATGAGAAGGGGTAAAAAAAAAAAAAAAAAAGTTATTCTAACTTTATGGGCGACAGTGTATTTACCAGATAATTAAAGCCACCAAATGTGATATTTAAGCCACTGAAACTTCGGAAAAAATTCTCATTTTCATAAGATTATTAAACAATGGAGTAATGTATCATCTCTAGTTGTTTGTGTTTTCAATGGATATGAAGACGTTCCCTTCAAAAAGTTCTAAAGATATCAAAACAGTCATTGCTTTAAAAAATATAGTTGAAATGCTCTAAATGTGGATTTTCCAGCTCCAAAGCTAATTTTAGGAAGTTGTTGATGTGGCACCAAATGACATTTTGACAAAACTAAGTTGTTTCTACACACAACACAGATTTGACTGGAACTGAGTGAATGTTAGTTAAAGTTAGTTAAAAAGATTTTGTGTTTTGACGATAAATTATAGATTTTTATTATCTTAGTTTCTCTCTCTCTCTCTGTGTGTGTGTGTGTGTGTATGTATATATATACACATACACATACACATACACATACACACATACACATATACATCAGCAGCCACATCCTGTAAATAAATAAGCAGTTGGTGAGGCTTTAAAGATGCTTTAAAAGATTGCTGAAGTAATAAAATTTACCACCAAGGGCCTATTTTCAAAAGTTCATGCCTCAAAAAGTGATTTGGAGTAGAGCTGTGGGGTTTTGCAAGATTCCATGTTTAAGGTAAAAGTTTTTGTATGATTTTTTTTAAGAACATCCATTAACTCAACTGGGAAAAGTTCTGAAATCTGGTTGAATTGGCTGGAATGAGCCTGTAGTGATGACTGACTGCCAGTTACATGTTGGCCATGTACTATAACCCTACATCTCAAGAGTAACAAAGACTAAGACCAAGTCTACCCAAAACACCATTCCCCCATCACCTCACTACATCCATGAAGCCATAGTGATACCTGTTCACTCCAATGGAGGTGCTGCAGCCCTCTGCTATAGACCATAACTAACTGTAGTCTGGAAAATGATTTAGAATACTTAAAGTGGTTGTCTTCTGACAACTATACAGCTCTATGTTCAAAGCACTGTTTGTTCACATACAGGACCCTGGTCAAACCGTTTTCCAGATGAGACACTGACAACAAACTGTTAAATGCAGAGAAATGATGAACACGATTGATTTAATATGCTCAATATGAGCATGATTATTTATTTAACAGTGGTTCTCAAACATGGGGGTCTCAAGATATTTTCAGGGGGTCGCCACATAATTGTCAAAAAAATAAAAATAAAATTTAAAAAAAGCCTACATTTATCAAATAAATTTGTATTAGGGCTGTCAAAAATTAAAAGTGTTTACTTCTTCCCACTCCTTTTTTGAACTTGTTAATATTATGATTTGATAATGCAATATTATTATTCCTTTGCTCTTTTTTTAAGCTCTTTTCTAAATTATTTTCTTTGGTTTTTATATTATTTTTCCCTTTCATTTGTTTGAAATAAATTCAATTCATTCATTCATTCATTCATTCAAAGAAAATTAAAGTGTTAATGCAAAGAGATTAATGTGTGGAATGAACACATTAATTTTTAAAGCATTAATTCATGAACAACAATGTTATTACTCGTGATATTAAAAATTCAAACTGGGGGGTCACAAACACAAACTTCTGTTATCTTGGGGGGTCATGGCTCAAAAAGTTTGAGAACCATCGTACTGTAACATAGTAAGGACACAAGTAGTGCCGTTCCCAAAATATACACAGACAGTGTTTGTAAGACATGGCATAAGAAAGAAATTGAATTTTGATAAAGGCAATTATGAAAATAACACAGTCAAAAGGTCTTGTTTCTCAATGAGTCCACTCCTTATCATAGATTCACAGAACCATGACTTTGGGTAGACACTGGACACACAGTTAGGACAAATCTGGGATGGATATGAATGAAGGATCTACTGATCTACACAGCAATCAAGAGATTTGTCAGCCAACGTTCTCTTCACTGCCCATCGAAGGCACCCCAGCTGTCACTCAACAAACAAAACATAGCTGGGATGCTGGGAGCTGATTGTGTTCCCTCAACAAGTCCCCACACCCTCCCCCCAAAAATCTAAAAAGGTGACATTGTGGTGCCCCTTTGGTCTGTAGCGGGTGGCCTGTCAGGTCTGTTTGATGTGAGTGAGCGGGAGTGGAGGCGGGAGGGCTGGACAGTAACACGCAGTGACATTAGTCACCCCCACCCGCCTGGACTAGGGAGGGACTACCCTGACAATGATTGATGGCTGTTATTCATTTATAGATCCAGAAGAGAGGGACTGGGAGACAGTGGACACACTGCTGGTCCTGGGTTTGGGGGTCAGAAGCTTGTGGCTTGCTTTTTTGTTGACTGATCATGAAACATATCCCAGCACAAACAGGTCGAGATCCTTCACTACACTCTGTCTAACATGAACCGTTACAGTACATACTTATTCATGAAGATACACTTTCTCACATCACCGCTTCCAGCACTTTTTTTTTTTTTTTTTAAATGTATTATTCAACACAACTGTATAGAGTTTTGAAACCTGAAGCAGGGGACATGGAATTTTCTCCTGGCTAAGCTTTGGTCTTTTTGAATTCATTGAACTCATCAGCAGTGACTTGCTGCAATTCACGGTAACAATAATGAAGAGCAGAATGTTTGTTGCACTCAGTTTACCATCTCAGTACTAGGTGGACGAATGCAATCTGGTAAAACAAACAAACAAACAAACAAACAAACAAACAAACAAACAAAAAACCAAACAGGTATTGTTAAAAAAAACTAAAAATAATTATATGAAAAGGATTGGTGCCACAAGGGACTAACGAACACATAACATCAAAGAAGGTCAAATACTCAAGTGATGTGAAAAAATTGTCAAAGTTTATAGTTTTCTAATCAGTCAACATACATCTGCTGTTTTTTCTCTTCAGCGGAAACTTTAGTGACCTTTAGAGTAGACAACAGAACTCAGATTCCCTCTGTGCAATCACCAGAAATCATAGCAATGACAAAAAATTGTGTCGTTTTTGAATAATTGTCTTATCTTCAGTTGTCTGTGATGAAAAGTGGTTGTTTTACAGTACACATAATATAGTTATAATTATGTATAATTAAAAGCAAGTTAATATACATAAATATTGAATGGTTTTAGTTTGTCACATACCCATGGACAGATGTTCTGTTACTGTCCACATGGGATTCTTTTTAGCTGCTCTTTGTTGTTCCAAAGCTTCTTAGGACCTCTTGAGAAAAATTTGGGACTCTTGGGTATATACTATATACTTATGTAGCATTTATATTACCATGTATAAATTTGACCTCCACTCCAGGTAGAACTGCAGTATCCCGTTTCAGCACACTCCTGCCTCCATTTTTCTGCAGTTGGCTATGCGTGCATTGTGGTACTACTGGCCACGTCTAGTCCAAAGATGCTGAAACCATTCTGATCCATACAAATATATTTTAGTTTGTCTGACCAAAGGATGTACTGTGAGCATCCACAAGGCCTTCATCTTCTTTGACAAAGTTCAAGTATCAAGAGGTTGACTTCTTGCAGTGCCCTTTAAATTGTTGAAGTATTCCTGGAAAACCAGTTTTTCAATGCAGGGTTTTGTAAATGGGAATTTGTGGAAGGCAACATTTTTCAAAGTCAGCCACTTTTTAAAATTTTATTTATTTTTAATGCAAACAGTGATCTTTCCTTAAAACATACCAAATAGTTTCTGTGCTTGACTTAGCTTAGTCGTTTTGTTTTGTAAATGAAAGCGGCGACTGAAACGACTGAACAGGACAACAGTAAACAGCTACTTAAAATGAACGTAAATAAACTGCTGTAAAGTGTGCATTGATTAAACTAAGAATATACATAAAAAAGCATGCATCAGTTATCACATTTTTAAACGTTAAACAGAGGTGGTAGATCTAAACCCTTGATCATAAATATTAAAGATGTTTTAATTCTGTAATAGCATTGATTACAGTGGTAACACCATATATATACAGCACAGCACTAAACAGTAAGCCTCATGTTCTACTGTAGAGTACTGTCATCAATTATGCAGTAATTAACAGTTTAAGTGAATTACTATTCTAACACTGTAAATATACAGTAAAATATGGGAAGCTGGAGTTCCCCATGTTTTACTGTAATTTTATAGGAAGATCTGTTACAGCGTACAAGACTATTTGGCAGATGCAATTCAGAGCATAGTAATGTACTGTAATGCTAAATATGTTGGCAGTAAATATTTTGCATGTACTATAAGTTTAGTATGAATTTTATTTTTTTGTTGCAATAAATGTGATCCAAGAATCACTACTACACAAATCAATTAGCCAGTGCACATTAACTGTACATGCAAATACAATATTTTATAGAAGACAGAGTTGGGTTTTTACTACGACAGAGTAAAGTTTCACACTGTATAAATACCATTTGAATAGCTTTCACATTAATTTATGTGCATAATAAAAGGAACAACAGGAAACAAAATATATTTGAAAATGAAAGCAGAAAGCCTCCAAACTTTTTGATTTTATTCAAGCTATAGCATAATTTTCTGGTTTGGTACTGATACATGTCAAAACAACATCAACTGTCAGTCAGCCTACCAAGAAACAGAGAAAGCACAAAGCTCAGTTTCACTTTTTAGCAGCTGAACGCAAACCTTCCGATACTTTGTTGTTACAATATTTTAATGTAGTCTATTTTGATTTGGGCTGGGGGTAGGTGACTGGGTGGGTGTGGGTGACGTGATGTTATTCATTGCACTGATCCAGGTGTGAACTGGCAAGTAGTTATTTGGTAACATTGACTGATTGCTGCCCGAATTAATTGTGCAGCAACCACACTGTATTATTCATGGCCTGGCACTTTTAACTTGGTAATTACCAGCTGCTGGGACTCAGTGGGACTCCAGTGGTTGTGTCAAAAAACAGCTCGCTCAGTAAATTCATTTACACAAATGCATGCAGTAAGCATTTCTTCAATTATTAGTCTGCACCGTTTCTGTTTCAGTCTGAAAAAAAACAAACAAAAAAACAATGCTGTTATGTCTGTATTTTATGTTTGACAGACATAGTTTGCAGATTTTTTTCTTGGAAACTTTTTTGTCTTTGTCTGTGCAATAATTTTTTCTAAGTATTATTATTATTATGCCGTGTGATAGACTAGCGACCTGCCCCTAAGTCAGCTGGGATAGGCTCCAGCCCCCCTGCGACCCTAGGGAGGATTAAGCGGTGTATAGATAATGGATGGATTATTATTATTATTATTATTATTATTATTATTATTATAACAAACAAGGTAATCTAACAATGTGAGATATTATTATATTAAACATAGATACTACATTTACATGAAAAAAGACATAAATGTACATTACACTACCAACTATTATTAAATACATTCATCTTCCTAAAATGTATGTTTTAAAAATGAATGACAACCAGCAAACACAAATAGTTTACTATGGTGTTGATGCATTGTGCTATTCCTCCCCACTGACTTTATTTTTTATCCAAACTGAATAATTAAAATAGTTTATGTGTATATGATGCAACAGGCCGTGTACTTCATTCCAGTGTTAGACTCACACACTGAGTAACTTCTTCTATACGTTTTAGACTTCCTTCCACATTAAAAAGTTAAAGTTGGGACAAACTTTTGTCACCTCTAATCTCTATTGTTATTCTTCATTTTAAATGCCAATATAACTGAGTATATTTCATTGTGATTCTGGATTATGTTGTGAGGGAGCAAACATAATCTACTGTTTCTTGTATTGTAATTGCAGAAGGCCTACGTGTAGAAAAACAATGAAAAAAAGAAAAACTTGAATGAATGAGTACAGGTAAACAGTTGTTAAAAAAAGATTAAACTGTATTAATCCTAATTAATTTCAACATTTCATTTGTGAGGCTGAAGACTTAACTATTCAGTTATGTTCTATACTGAAATTCTTCTCAGTTTATAACATCATCCATCCATCCATCCATCCATCCATCCATCCATCCATCCATCCATCTACCCATCCATTATCTATATACCACTTAATCCTCTGTATATGTATATGTATATGTATATGTATATGTGAAAAGAAATTCACTACTGCTGGGAAATAGTAGTGGAAAATGAAGATAACAAATACTGTCAATAAACTATCACAATTCTTGTTAAGAAACAGACATACTATGGCTTTGCAGAAATCCCAAATATAAAACCTTCCTAAAAAAAACAAGACAAGCATATAAAACTTAATCCTAGCCTACTATGAAGCACGTTTGTAGACTCATCCGTGGAACCTGAATGTGGTCAATCCCTGCCATACAGATAGGCAGTATGTAGACAGAAGCACAGCCAAAGCAGTTCATTTCTGCATGCATTCTAAGTTTAAAGAAATCAGTGTCTCCCATATTTCACGCCTCTGATTGAAACAACAAACAGATTGATTACTAACTTACTAAAAGAGGAAGAGTGATGGACAACAAAGGAAGAACAGAGAAAGAAAAGGGAGGAGAGCACTTACCCTTTAATCCAGCTACAAGATAGCAGGGTCAGGGTGTAGAAGAAGTAGAAGAAGAAAAGGAAGAAGGAACAAACAGAGAAACATAAAGACACACAGCAAAGCCACCAGCACTTTAGCAGCAGTTCTACGACAAAAAGCGAAGCAGCACACAGAGAAAGAATAACAGTAACAGTTGAGAACATGTACAGTATATGACCAGAGAAAACTATGGACATTGTTGACTAATATGTAAACAGATGTAGTGAGGACAACTACAGAAAGAGACAAAGTAAAACATGAAGCACAGGAGAAAATAATAAGCTCAGAGTGACAAAAACACAAAACTTCTTTTTAGTCTGGTTTTGTGCACTGATTGTTGGCAACTGTCATCATTTACTTAATCAGCAAACAGACATTCCCTTTTTCTAAAACATCTATTAATAAAAAACGTGGAAAAATGAGAGCTGAAAACTTACAGAATTGAGAAATAGGTGCATCTAGCTGTGGCGCTGTGCCCCCCCTTGAGTTAAGTTTCTGGACCTGGGTGGGAGGAACTGGCTTGTGTGATTGGCCGGTGGCCCGGTACATAGCCTGCACCCATAGGATACGGTCCTGCTCATCATCGCTGGCAAAAATCACGGTGTCACCTTCTTTAACAGCATTAAAAAATGTCCGACCTCCATCTAGACCTAAAGAATGGGAAGAGGAAGATATTCTTAACATAAGTCTGTCACATCACCAGGTTCAGATCATAGGTACACACTTATTATCTAATAAAAGTGACATGAATAGAGTTCAATGTAGGCAGACAGTCAGAATTTATAATCACAAGCAGTTTCAAACTATATGGTAGACACATTTATTTACAGTTTATAGACTCACATTTTCAAGACAAAGACTTGTCTTAAAAGCCTAAAGTAAGATCAGCAGAGTTACTATGAATAAACTGCAAATATAAGCAATAAAAATAAGGTTTTTAAAATTAAAGGTTTTTTAAATTAAAGTTAAATAACTGCCATGCCCTCCATCTCCACCTCTGTTTAGCTGGCAGCTCCCCCCTCCTCCCCTTTCCCTCCTGTGGGTGTGATTGTGTTGAGTGTGTGTGTGCGTGGGGATGTGGGTGCATCGTGCAGATTGGATAATCACCTGAATGAGGACGCCTATGGCAGGGAGTGGCTCACCTGCCAATACTCACCTCCATCTACCATAGAAAACAGGCTCTTCTTACCTCTCAACACCATACCGTTGACAAGACTCCACCTCCTGCCTGGATTCCACCCTAACTCTTTACCCTTCGATGCACCATCCAGCTCTTTTCTGATCCCCAACTCTGGATCTGCTACGGCATTCCAGCCCAAAAACCCCCACGCCATGATTTACACTCCTCTTCACCCACAGACCCCCTGACCACTCTCCCTACCTCTGCATGCCAGGTAAGTAGAGTAACTTGTCTTGTTTTGGGGTTTTTTATATGTGTGTGTATTGTTAGCACAACGATCCATTGCCTTGTGATACTTGGTTTTAGTTGGTACTCCAGTCGCTAAGTGTAATTTATCCTAAAGATTCATTCTGTAGCATTTAGCGCTTGTGGGCAGAGATCCCTCTACTTCCTTTTGGTCAGGTTATTCTGCCTGTCTCATATAGAGACCGCTAGTGTACATTCCCACAGTTACTGCCTCTTTCCCTCATCCTGTTCCCAGTCATTCCCTTTCCTCTTCCCTTATTTTGTATGTTCATCCTGTTGTCCTGTGTAAAATAAAACCCTTTTTACATAATCTGGTCTGCTGTGTTTCCTGGCTGCGTTTGGGTCTCTGATTAATTGGGTTAATTTCGGTTTTGTTCGTGTAGTTCACCTCCTGTCCCATGGGTGTCTCCTGTGGGTTATTTTCCCCATTTTTATTTATCAGTTCCGCTTTTGGCATTTTGTCCTACCTGTGTAAATTTGTACCTGTTTTATTTTCTGTAAATAAATTCATTGTGATGTATACTATTTTGCCGTGTCTCTCTTGCCTCACGTTTGAGTCTTGGAGGCGATCCGTGACATGATTATTTAAACACAGTAAATGGGGGGAAAAATGACCTTATCATGGTGGAGGGGTTTGAGTGTCCCTGTGATCCTGGCAGCTATGCTGTTGGGGGCAATAGCCCCTAGTAGCGTCTCCCAAGGCAAATTGGACCCGGAGGAAGCGACCAGACAGAGCGATTCATAAACCCCAAGACTTGCCCCGTGGTCAGGCCCAGCCTGACTGCTGACCATGAACTGGGGACATTGTAGGGCAGTAGAAAGAACACTTCTAAGAACTCCGGTTAACGTGTCCTCTGCTGAGGAGGCAGAGCCTGAAGACCCAGGGGAAGACATCTGATTTAGATGCAACCTGGGAGACTTCTTTTGGAGTTTTTCTGGGCACGTCTGCCCAGGAGGAGACCTTGAGGCAGACCCAGAAGTCACTGGAGGGATTATACATGTCATTTGGCCTGTGAACGCCTTAGGACTTCCACAGGAAAATGTCTGGAACAACCTGCTTCCCCAGTTGCCTCCACAACCCAACCCGGATAAAGGGAAGAAAAGGAATGGCTAGATGAAGTGTCTATAATTAGATAGCGAGTGGTAAAATCTGTAAAATATTTACTGCCACTCAGTTTTGCGTTTATCTTGTGGCCACACTTTGGTCTCACAGTGTAATTTTTTTTTATTTTCCACAGGCAAATCCATTTGAATGAGGTAAGAGTGAATTTACATAACTTTATTTGTTATTTAATGTTGTACTGATTGCTGACTTTGTACTTCTGAATTATTTTCTTGTCTTCATTACCTGTAGTACAACTTAGTTCCATTCTTATGACTGTAACTGTATTAAAATAATATTTAAGCAATATTCTATTGGAGGGACAGCTGAAGAAACCCAGATCCTCACTGACTGCTGGGAGACTCCACAGAACATCAGCAGCTCCATCCTGGACCTTCTGACGGAGCATCTTTAGCAACATCTTTTTTAATGGAAGCTGAAGGCTGATCAGCTCCTCTATAGAACATCAGGAGGAGGAGAGGTACACTGTTCTTCCTCTGACTTTATGTTTTGTGAGAGACTTTAGTCCTGTTATAAAATTAATTGTCTTAAATTTAATTAAATATCTTTTCAACTGTATTCTAAATGTGAATTGTCTGATATGAATTGTTGAAGCCAGAACTACATTTCCCTCTAACATGTGACCTGCTGGATCAGACACTGCTTGTGCTTGAAAAGGCTTCTGGTTTTTGCTTTTTTTTTTACTTGACAGGCAGAGGAAGAGCTCATCTGTCTTTAGGTTCTGAGTAAAGCAGTTGACATGTAATATTCTATAAACATTATGAATTACTGATGATGCTCAGTGTGTGGTACAGATGAGGTACAGTCAATTACAAATAATGTATAGTGATGTTTGTGCACCTGTCAGACTATAAACTTCTGGATGTTTGAGGACAAACGACAGGTTTGGATGTAAAATGTATGCTAATCTGTTTCAGTAATTTTAATATTAAATGTGTAAATCTCATCCATCCCTGTTCATTACGTAGATTCTGACAAAACGTGGTCCTACTAAACAGCTCTGCACTACTTGGTGTCCTCAGTACTTCTTCAACAATAAGCTTTTGCTAAGTTTTTGTCGATCCACTGATAGAACTGAGGATAAGACAGTCCAGTTTAACTGCACCACACACTACAGCTGTCAAAAATCAACTCCTCTAGAACATTAAATTAAGAGTATACAATGATCTTGGAAACCTCAAAATATACATATTAATTACTTTCACAAAATGTAAGGAGGCAGGACCATGTTGCCTGAACTTGTGGTCATGTCTGTCAACGATGTGCAGTTTCTGGGGACGGACAACATTTGCTCGTTGACATGCAAATTGTATGTAAATGAGGCCCCCCAGAACTTTGAAATATTCCAAAAAATAAAATAAAACAAAAAAACCTACCTTTGTCTGTAAAAAAAAAAAGAAAAAAAGAATGTCTTTAAAAGCATACATGAAGAAACACTTGGGAAATTATTTCAATGACAAATTCTTTCTTTTCATTGACCAATTTCATTTTTAATGAGAAATTATTTTTTTAATGACAACCTATACTGTCTCTGTTTAAGCTCCATACTTCAGAGTCACAGGAAAAACTGTAGTACTTCCCATGACTACATTAAAATTGGTAACGCTGAACTTTGTCGTCTGACCCTTTTATCAGTCCCATTGCTCAATTTATAGTATGTAATGTTCTTTTGTATGGGTGTATTGCGTATTGTGATAAGTGTTCTTGTTAAAACTGTTTGGTATTAGGCTACCTGAACAAACCTCTAGTCAGGTTGAAACTAGTTGTCGCAACTCTTGAAACTACATGATTTCTGTTCATTTGAGACAGGTACAAATAACAACAGGGTAAGCTGTCTTTCCTCGAAGACACCACAAAACTGACTATATCGTGATTGAGATGTCAAATCATGCACATCACACAAAGTTCTGAGAAGAAGTCTAATCAAGCAACATGAGTAAAAACAGCTGAGCTGTTTTTACTCATGTTGCAGCAAATCTTAACACTGGTCCTGCATTAACATGCCTGCCTGACAGTCATAGCTGTCCTATATGATTTCCGTTACCTGGCTGGGGATCAGTGTAGTCGACTGTGTAGCCATCCAGCTGAAGGAGTTCCACTGGCTCAGCCTTCTTCTCTCTGTAGCTGCACATGGCAAAGGTATACTGACTCACCTGCACCAATCACAGAGAGAGGAAAGGGTCACTTGGCTGGACCAGGAGAGAATACAACAAATACTCTGCAATCATGTGCTTTTGTACCGTCTTTTAACCATCACCTGTTGATTCCTAATTATGAAGTAACAGTATAAACAAGGAAACAAAAACACACGATGCATGGCATTTCATGAGGATCATGCAGATCAGGATAATATACATGAAAAGCAAATAACGGGAAAAACACAGCATTCCAAAAGGTGAGCATATTATGATTATGATTATGCTTCATATTTGTAATATTGTCCAGTGTTACAGAAAACTAAAAATTCCTGCAGCAAATCCACATCAAGGCCCATCTTTTACTTCTCTCCAGGAAGTAGCCATAACATGTCAGACTGAAGAGATGAAGCACTGACTCCAATGTCAAACAGCAAAGCAACAATTTATTTTTCTGTGCACAATTTTACTATTATATCTGAATACACTGGACTCAAATCCTTAACCCTAGTTCCAAAACCACACATTGCCTTAGCGATAATGATGATAATGAGAACTGGAAAGAAATGAAGCATTACAGTATCAATGAATAATCGCCAGTGCATTTTGATTTCAGGATAATTTTAGTGATTTTAAAGTAAAAAGGCATGTTTTTCTTTACTAAGGTCATCATAATCTGTGTTCCCTGTTATATCTGTTCAATAGATACATTTATCTCCTCACTCAGAGTTACTACTGTCACACTGCCTGTAAGGGAACTCTCTCATGGCATATGCATAATACATTTAGCGTGTGTAAGTCTGAGGCTACATCCACTATAATACATTCTCATTTTAAACCTTCCTACAGATGAGTGTTTTAGACAAACACATATCACTTGACCATTTATCTACACAGGGTATGCATGTGTCGCTGTAAACAGAAATGGGCTGAGTGCTTGGATGCAGAAAGATTGTTGTTAGATTGGATCAGCAGGAGAGTCACTCTGCTGCGAGTGGTTGTTATAACAGGTAACTGCTGACACTCCATTTGTATCTGAGAGTTTTTATGGGTTTTGTGTGCCAAAGTGTGAAGAAATCTAATGTGATGGAGTGATCCTTCTCAAAGGGTTTGGTTTTGTCAATGGCTGTGGGTTCTATGAAACACAATCATCAGGCTGCAGCAAACTGCTCCCTCACCATTTACACTGAAACTCATATCGAACCCTAACTATAAACAGTATTGGGCAACAGTGTCACTACAAGTATGTGGTGTTGCTAGTTTACGTAGTAATAGCAAGGTGGAACTGTTCCTGCAAGCAACCTGAGTATAAGGCAGTCATGGAAACGGAGTAGTTTTATTTAGTAGTTAGTTTTTCATGTAAAAAGATATGAAAACACGTGAGAGGCTTGAAGTGTAAGCAATAATAAATTGGTGCATGTGGTTCATAAAGGTGGGTGGGGTGAAGTCAACTGATTGGCACATGTGTTTGAATGTTATAAGAGAATTTCAGAAGAATTAGGCATTTTCCAGGCATTGGGCATGGAATAAAAGATGAGGTTGCAGCACTCTTAATAAACCATTATTAGCTTTCTTATGAAGAAGTACATCAAGAACTCAGTCCTATTTTTTCAGTCCTGTTGGACCCAAGGAAGACTTTCCCAAACCCAATTTAATGGGCAACTGAATTAAAGGGGGGATGTCTATTAGCAGAATGGAATATAATACAAATAGTTGTGTTTTCATTCATGCATAGTCGCCTGTAATTATTAGTTATTTTTTGTCAGCTTAAATATATGTACATATGTACAAAGGGAACGGGTACTCCTTCATGGAGCCTGCCATGTTGTACCACAAAGTATAGTAGCTTAAAACCAAACACTGGTTTTAGAAATGGCCTTTTATGTCTTTAGCAGTCTCCATTGGTTCTCCATACTTGGAAAGGTATGAGTGAAAGGATTTGTTGCAGTCCTTATGGCTATACACCCCCTTAATTATACAAACTCTATAAGTTAACATGACTAAAACACGGCAACAACACACAACCAGGTCTGACCAGAATGTCACTGCTTTTATGTCTGGTCATAAATTAAAGGATTAACCAAACTGATTCTTTGACCTGATGATAGTGCCAGATGAAAAGTCAGGCAACCAATAGTTATTACAATTAATCTTAAAAGTGTGCACCTAGATTTACTCATCCAATAGCTGTTGATACTCACAAAACCAGAAATGGGAACCTCATTATGGCACGAGAGGAACAATCAGGGGACCACCAAGGTCAGCAGAATTCTTTTCTGACTCACTGAATGTCATTTACGATATAAACCTGCCATTTGCCAATCATTTCATTTAAGTGACCTGTGTTATTTTAAGTAGATCTGTCTTTTTTGACCATGTGTGTTACAATAGTTACATTAAAGCAAAGACAAGTGACTTAATTAGCGGATAATTTAAAGAGCCATCGCTTAAAACAGCAGTGATAGTAGAAGTAAAGATGTGTGTTCACGACCAGCATATATATATATACACACACACACATAGTGTATATAACAATATATTGTTATATACATTGTATACTGTTAAATACACTCACAGCTGGTCATGTCAGGGTTTCACAAATGTGGTGCACTGACACATTAAAACATACATCGATTAAGTTAACTCAAATTATGTACTTGTTGTGATGTGTTAATGTGAGAAGTCTCTATATGTTTGCATATACAGCACTTAGTACAAGAGCCTTTGGAAAACGTTATAATTATATTAATAATAATTGATTAGATTTATATAGCACTTTTCTTACTCAAGGAGTAACTCAAAGCACATACAATCAATTGTAAGTTATTCATTCACACCCATTCATTCTGGTGGTGGTAGTTACGGCTGTAGCCACAGCTGCCCCTGGGGCAGACTGACAGAGGCGTGGCTGCCATTCTGCGCCTATGGCCCCTCCAACCACCACCTCAAACAATCCATTCATACGCATTCTCACCAGGCAAGGTGGATAAAGTGTCTTGCCCAAGGACACAACGACCATGACACAGGTTACAGGGCGGAATCGAACCGCCGACCATTGACCGATCATTGACCGGCCCGCTCTACCACCTGAGCCACAGCCACCACAGTTTTCTCTGTCAAAATTACAATAAATAATAGGTCCTAATTATTATATTAATGTGTTATTACTGTTAGTAGTAGTAATATTAATAAACCACGTTATTTTTTATTTTGTTTTAGCTATACTATATTTTCAATTATAATATTAGTGTATTATTACAATACAACCGATATGAAATCAGCACAACATTAAACACCTTGAGGGTTGAAGATGTTATGGAAGAAGACAGCTGGAATGTCCATGGAGTCATAAACATGTCCATCTTTGCATCATTACTGTCCCTCTGACATGACGCCACACTGGAGCTACAGTTAGGACAAGCATAATGAGTACTGGAAGCTAGCAGGGCTTTACTCTTTCAGTCCTGCCAATAAAAGGCCAGTAGTAACCCATGCATCAGTGTACCACTGGTTCAGGTTAGTGGTTGTGGTCTTGACACTGCTCCGTGTTGCTAACAGGAAGTGTAGTGACACTGTTGCTAGTCGAAGCTGGCCTGCTGTTACTGTAGCTGCCAGTCATACCAGCCTGTCGTCACCAATCACCAGTCCTGGCCCATCCGCCACTGTCGTCACCTCGGCTGCTGCAAGTGGCAGCTCTCACTCTAGCTGCAGCTGCATTCCACGCACGTGCACACGCGTGTATGTGTGTCTGTCTGTGTGCCTGTGTGTGTGTGTCTGTGTGTGTGTCTGTCTGTGTGCGCATGTTGGATTTTCCCTGTGCATGTGTGACAAATGAGATTCCCCACGACAGCACTGATGAGACCTGAGGCCAAGTAAAGAATGGAGGGAACCAGTCCGACTCTCCAACAGCTTCCTGGCCTCCAGGATACCACAAAGGCAAATCAGAGACTGAAGTACTGACCCCCCTCCACCCACACCCCAAAACACCAGCTTCCTTTCTTTCTCCCTCTCTCCCTCTCGCTCTCTCTGCTGTCAGTCAACAGAGAAGAAAATGGCAGACAAGGATGAAGAATTGGAGAGGAAGGGAGAGTAAAACGGACTGCAGCAGTCACTTATGTTCACTTCATTACAGAAAACACATGGACATAAATAGACTAATTTGCTGGATGTGGCATATGAGCTAACACACAAACTTCTGAGCAAAAGAGCAAAAATTTCCATCTCGGCCCTGACACCAGGTCTCAGTGGTAGAGTTTTTAAAAGCCCCATAATATACATAAATATACATCAAACAAATAATTGGTCAGCATAGTTGAAATTTACAATTATCAGATGCGTATAAGTACTTGAACAGAAATGAAAAGAAGTTCTAATTGTAAAGGAGTCCCTCTCTGTATTCATCATTTAGATGAGTAGTCCTCCTTATTGGCTAAAAGTTGATTTAATGGTATTCTTCCTTTGTCATTAGTGGGTATCGAAAGCCCAAAGGTCATTTGACTGCAGCTCATTGGCCCAATCTCAGTGTCCAAACTCATCCCAATGAGGCATGATTCCCCTGAAATACATGAGCGTTAAGGGATGTCCCACTGCTGCCAAGTAATTGCAGGCGCTAAAGCAGAATTTTCAATGCTCTTATGTGCTTTCTGTGAGCCCGCATATCTGCAGACTTACCTGAGTGACTTGACCATAGTTCATAGCAAAATTTCTGACATGTAAATGTGGTTGTAATGTACGTCTACAACCCTGGCATAGATGGTGTAGGGAAAAAATCTGCATCAATTAGTGACTGCATCTGGCTGCTGACTGTTGTGGTTATTAGTTGTTTGTATCAAATGTCTACGTGAGATTTACAGATGTTGGTGGCTTTTGGTAGTTTGCTAAAATAAAATAAATGTTTGTGTGACAAACACACAGGTACAGCGGTGACTGTCAAATATACACTGAGGGAGTATCTTTCTCTTTCTGGAACACAAACAGCATCATTCTGCCATTGCACCGGATGCAACCTTCATTATATAAGATCGGTATTTTGTTTCACTAAACACAAACTGTGCTCAAACGTATTACTGCCCAATGTCAAGTTGATTTGGAAGCAACATTTGGTAACTGTCAGCTCTCCCACTATCTATTTTGTCACTGCAGGGTGCCAAGCAGGTGGATTTTAAAAGGCCACTGCACCAGTAAAAAACTATTTTTGACCTGAATTTAGCTGAAGTTGAAGTGAAGTGAAGTCATGTCAATAAAACGGACGTTAAACAGTTTAACAGTTCAGATTGTTATGGCAAACTGACCCGAACAAAACTGAAATAAAGGGATTTGACCTTAATTAAAGCAAACGGATATATGTGACTTGAACTGAGCAACAAAAAAATAAAGTTGAAGTTGATTGACATGAATTGAACCTGAAATTGGAATTGAACTGATCTCAAATAAAGCGATCTGAATAAAAATAAATGAACTGAGCTAAGCTGAATTAATGTGGATGAAATCAAATGAACTGATGTGAACTGAAGTGAAGCAAACTGGACTTAAGTAAACTGAAAGACAGATGTGAATATAGAACACGCAAGGTCTTAGCTGAAGTGTAATCTGTCTGACTGCTGAGGAGGAGCCACAGCTAATGCAACAATTATGAACTGTAGGGGAGGGAGGACAAGGAGGTGGTTTAAGGATAGACTGGAAGTGTGGAGGATGGAAAGGGGTGACATGCAAGTGATAAATGACAGTGAGTTGTAGAGGATAGGAAAATCAGGCAGTAGTTGAACATGCGGAGGTGAAAGAGGGTGAAATGGACAGACAGAAGGGAAGGATGGAGAAGACAGAACCAGAGAGATTGAATGGTGGAAAAAGTCTAGGTGTGATGCAGAAAGTGTTGTATAGTCCTATCTCAAACTGTCCGAACTGTGAGAGGATTTAATTTGATTCACTAACTTGGTTTAGCACAGTGTTGAGTGACTCATTTTATATCAAGGAATATTGTGCAAATTAATGTTGTCTAAGATACAGGTGTAGAGGAATTAGCAACTATAATAATAACAACAACAATAATAATAATAATAAAAAGAAGAATAAAACTACTAACTGTTGGTTTGCATGACGACTATGAATAAAATGGATGTAACATTGTGCTGCATTTCTGTTTGATCACATTTGGTGACAATGAGTCAGTGACACTGACTCATTGTTAAAAGGCTGTTATTTACACTAATTTAAAATTCCGGTTTGGCAGACGGTTAAAATATATAATTATTATTATTATTATTATTATTATTATTATTATTAATAATAATAATAATAATAATAATAATAATAATAATAATAATAATAATAATAATAATAATAATATAGATTTATATATATATATAAAATAAATAACTAAATAAATCTCACTCTGGCTTCAGGACAGAGAACCTTATTGTGTGTCAAAATTGTACCTAGTGTCCCTTATCCAGAGGTTGTCTACTTCAGCCCCACAGGTGCAAATGCACCTCCTCATGACGATGTAGAATAATGACAAAAAGTTTACACTTAAAGGTGTTTCCACGTTTCATGTTCCCATTTAGGCAGGAAGTAAAACTATAGTTTTTAGTGCTGTGGTATTGATCACTGGATTGAATCACTGGATAGTTAAAAAAAAAAAAAAAAGATCTAAAAGTTAACAGATCACATTCAATACAACAGTGAAACCTCCAGTGTTGGCTACTTTAATTACAAAGGTTTCAGTTTAAATAAGTTACTGTAACCCAGTCTCACTCAGAATTTGATACGTACTGCCGCTTTGCAGGGACCTGTTGGCTTCACATTTGAACATTCTGTTTAGCATCATCTGTCAACGTGGAAGGTAGTCCAAAAGTCCTACAACAATCAACGAGTGTTAAAAATAGACATGATGAGTCCAGAGCCACATGTTGGCTGCTGGTGTCATCAGTGTCACTCTTTTTCAGGCAATAAGAGGTTTGCCTTGCAACATGTGCTTGGTGTTGTGAGGGGATGTACTTAAGTCCAAACCGTAAACTTTTTAAACTGAAGAGTTTGTAGGAGTGAAAGTAAAACTGACGTTACAAAATACAATTTAAATAAGTGAGAAAACGATAGTGCGACCCAGGAGACAAACATCAGTCTCCTGAGTGTAAATCCTCTGACTTCTGCTGCCACCACCCTCCAACCTCTGTATGAGCCTCTTTGAAACTGAAAAGACTCTTTTATGTCTATTGTCATTGAAAATTGACACAAGTGGCACCGATGCCAAAGGGCACCTAGTGTGCATTTTCTTCTTCATCTGTACTGAAAAAAAAACTGTGTGTAAGACTGTTTAACATCATTATCTGAAATAAAAGATTAGTTTTTTTGGATCTGATAAACCTTGCTAACTCTACTTCTGCATCTTCAGTGTCAAAGGAAGACACACATTAGTGGAGAAACAGTATTTTAATACACATATGTGGAAACATAAACTGTCACTTCATCCCCTGATGCAACATCCTCCTGGTCATGAAGCTAGATTAAAAAAACTGGACTTAGTTTTAATTTTCAAATTGTGCAACAGTGATAGTCTTGTCTTGTCCACATGAGACGCTGCTGCATAGTCATCTTAAGAACAGCTGAATACAAATGCAGCTCTTTGGTTATATGTCCTAAAATTCTGGTTAAAAAAAGAATTGCTAATGCACAAACCAGTGTTGATACAGTCATCAGCCTGAGAAACGCTTCACAACATGGAACTGTGTGCAAAAGAGACGTAAGACCTATCCTTTGACAAACCAACTATTTTATGCTGGGAAACTAAAGAACACTGAAAAGAAGTGCAAATTCCACATCACCACTGGCATATCAAAAATATGGAGATGTAATAAAAAGGAAGTGGCTGTGTGCAGAGATAAAGGCAGATACAGGCAGATACAGGTAACAAAATGCCAGCACTCAGTACTTATTTAGCAAGACAGTGGGGAAATAAATAAATCAATAGACAGTTATCTCTGCAATACAACATCTCTTAAACAGCAGCAAAATACACACAGAAAAAACTGGACAGTGTCTCTGCTCCTCAAGACAAACATGAATGCACATACAAAGCCAGACATAAAAACAAACACACACACAGTCACACACACACACACACACACACACACGCACACACGCGAGTGCACAGTCTATTGACCAGTATTTGTCACTTGCTATATATTTAGCTGGGAGCAAGTGAGAGGCTTCAAGTTGGCGGCGCTCAGGCTTTTCTAGCTGCGAGTGTTAGGCCAGCTAGTGTTCACTCGACTTTGTCAATCCCCTGTCAACTTGTAGCTCTGAGACATATCCTCTCCAATGCACAAGAGACAGCCCCCCCCCCCCCTCCCCCACCCCTCCCACCTACTGCCCACCTCCCAATGCAGAGCCACCAGGAAATGGCCGCTACTACCCCTGCCCCTACACCCACCCACCCCCTATCTCCTGACAAAAGCCTGCTCGGCCTCTCCATCATCACTCTGACAGCCGAGACAAGACAGCTTGGCTGCATCTCTCTTTCTCGCTGCACACACAACATGTGGCCAGTGAAATTATTATAGCCATAAAGCAGAGCTCATGTTGGAGGCTGCTCATTCATTTCTGTTGAGTGTGGTCAGGTAACTGACCTCATCCTGCACTTCCTTCATTTCAAACTAGATATTGTGCTTCTGAAAGTATGATAGAGAGGAAAGAGCTAGAAAAATATGTTGATCACCTTGACCAATTTATCACTGATGCACCCTGTCAAGTTTCATAGATGAAAATATAAAAACTCTCCAATACTAAATATATTTTTGTTGCAGTTCTCTAAACAAGGATAAGAACTGATGTATCGGAGCATGAATGGTGAGAAGACTTAAATCGTACTGGTACAGGTTCCAACCTGGTGATCTTATTTATCAGTGTTTTCAGTATATTTGTGTAGAGTGGGACAACTGCTCAGCTGATTTATACACAGCTGCAAACTGAAAAGATGTTGATTTACATGAGAATTTATATAAAAAGAAGGTGAACCGAGAATAAACGCAGGCCCTTAACACTATGAGAGACTGTGTACAAATTGCTATATGTGCCTGATAACATTGTAATGAACCAATGTGCTTCTGTAGCTTCTTTTACAGGCTTAAGGCTGCTGGAAACTGTCTGTCTTGACTGCTCTTGCTGGTGTTTCAGGCACGGTGGAGTTCATCTGGAACAAGCCACTTAATTTATAAAACTAAAATCAGAGATCAATCTTGAAAATCAGCAACCATCTTTGCACAGATGGTGACAGAACAGCCGATCCAGAGCCCCCTGAACTAATGGTTTCAGCTGGCACAGGTTATAGTGACTGCAAGCTCATTAAGAATGCAATTTATTTAATACGACAAACTAATAATTTTTGTGGTGCAACTGTTCTGTCAAATACTCAATCCAATGCATCAAGTGTTTCATTTTTTGTCTTTGTGTTTCATATTACAGTACATGTTTGAGGTATCTTGCAGAAATCAAATAAATCTAGTGAGAGTATCACTGTTCTTACCTGGACCAGCACAAAGAATCTTTTTTTCCATCTCTTCCAAACATTTTTGCCAATGGCCCAAAGGTACCTGTGGGAAAAACAAAAAAATAAAAAACAGAAATTAAAACAAATGACAAATCATATTACCATGAGACAGAGATGTCTCTTGGTGGCATTGATGCAGCTGTTTTTGCTTTTTTTTTCTTTCATTACCATGACTGTAATGTATGTGGCTCAAGTCTGAAGCACTCGGCTGAACCAACAGAAACCATGTGTAGAGTTTTTGCAGTGCATCTACTGACCTCTACTGATAAAATATTGTTACTGCAATTACACACCACATTTTAAAAATCTAGCGCATGACATCCTAATATTCTATTTAGTATTTGGTGTCTAAGCTGACAAACCCGTCTTGGATCATGTAGAATACACAGGGGAAACTGTTATTTTGGCAGCATCCATGTAATATACAGGGATACAGTGGGACCAAGTAAATCACTATGTAGTCACATTGTCTAATTAGGTAAAAAGGAAGAAAAAACAGTGAATGTTTTAGCTAAAAATAACCTGAAACTCCTCAATTCAATTCAAAAACGATTTTTTATAAAAATTATGCATATCTTTGACAACCTTGACATTTAAACTACACTTTGAAAAATACTTTCTTTTTTTCACAACTAAAATTCAGATGCATAGATTGCAATAAAAGATGGACTCTGGAAAATAAACAAATATAAAGAAATATATTCAATTTCAATTCAATTCAATTTTATTTTATTTGCATAGCACAGTTTACAACGCGTTATCACATAGCGCTTAACAAAGTAAGGTTACACATATGACATATGCAGTTATACATGGAGCTTCACGTTAGTGCAGGAAGACATGGAGTCAACAAGGTCACAAGGCCCTTTTCTGTCCAATCATTTACTACTTCAGTCCAGCACATCCACGTAGCGTGCTTCACAACAGAGGCAGCATCACTCACTCACTGCCTGCCCCACGCTCAGCACATCGCTGCTACACCAGCATCAACAGATCTGCAAATCATTGCTGCTGTTCATCTCCTCTTCTGAGATGTCTCATGAACTTGTACTTACCTTCTGACTCTGATCATGTCCAGGTGGCCTGATCCATCTACAAAGTAGGACTGTATCATTGAAAACAAAGTGGGCCAGCCTTCACAGAGACCACCGATGAGGAGTCCTACATCTAGAGTGTCAGCTGGAGTGCTGTTACTCAGGAAAAATCCCTTTAAAATCCAGTAACAGCTTCCCAGCTGCTCAGAACTTTTGTTTTGTTTTGGCTACTTCATTTTATACCTTCAAATCCACACAGTAAATGTTGAGCGCTTCAGCCTCACCCATCCTGCTGGTCCACCGGCACCAAACTCCTGCCCCTCCGGGAATACCCAAGATCAAACCACCTTTATCCTGCTCCAGCAGACCTCGCTCCCAGACTTCCTTTGTCATGTCTCTTCCAGGTATCCATCAGTCTCTCCTCTTAACACCATGGGCTCTCAATTTAAGGCCCAAAATCCACGTTTCCTTGGCTCATGCATCACAGCTTCCAGGTTCCAGTCCACTGTCTTGGCTATCATGTTGCCAGAGAGGCATCACAACAGATCCACTGGAGTACTGTGACTTGCAGCTCCAGCACCCTCTGCTGGTGTGGCATATTTCCTCCAGCCACAGCTTTGTGTCCTCATGAATTTAACCTAGTTAAATTCTGTTGATTTAATTTCAGGCATGCTGGGTAGGTAAAGTCTCGCTGTGTTGTGTTGACGTATCAGTCATTCTCAAGATCATGACTTGAGGCTGTCATAGGACATCACAATGGCTGAGTTTAAGGTAGGTTTTGAAGTTTATAGAGATTAAACTCATATAAGTGTGGCACGTTAAGGTTGATCATTGGCTTATCAGCTCCCAATGACCAAGAGGCGCAAAACACCAAAGGTCCCATGCCTCTGTGCCCTCTTGTTTTACCTATGCAACTGCAGATCACACATTTGTACTAATGAGAATAGAAGGTACATTTGCTTAGTGAGGGAAAGCACATTCCACAAAGGCCTCCCACTGGATTCGGTTCTGAGTTCAGTGAAAAGAGAAACTATATTTTGCAGTCAGATTGATTTTTGTTGCGTAGTGCAATAAAAGGGAAAAAAGTTTCCATGCGTACTTTGTAGGGTCATAACTTTAGTTCAAGAAATTAGTCAGGTTAATCTCCAAAATCAACACATAGCTATATATAAAATTATATTTACCTGTAATATCAAAAATAATATATTTTGTTACTGGCAACCTTTCCAGGGTGCCCCCTGCCTTTGCCCTAAGTCAGCTGGGACAGGCTCCAGCATCCCCATGACCCTACAGAGGATACAGCAGTGTATAGAAAATGGATAGAAATATACTTAGCTATAAAATTAACTTAATTAGGTTATTTATATATTAAATCTGGAGGTTAATTTCCATGTTTATTAATACCTTGCCATCTTAGCAAGATGGTTTAATGTCCATAACTAATACTACCGTAGGGTCTCAGCCTTACCATGTATTATGGACAGATAAAGTAGTATTATATACACTCAAAGAAAAAAATATTAGATCACCCTTGTTTTCTTCAGTTTCTTGTTCATTTTAATGCCTGGCACAACTGAAGGTAAATTTGTTTGGAAAAATATAATGACAACAACAAAAATAACTCATGAGCTTAATTTAAGAGCTGATATCGAGACATTTTCCATGATTTTCTTGATAAAAACTAAAATCACTTGAGTTCTTACATCTATCGCTATGGCATTGTACTGCCATAAACAGTGCTTTTAGGCATTCTATGTTTTCTTTTCTGTCTGTTTTAGTCACATGATACACACAGGAGTTAGCACTTGATTACATAACCATTGTTTTTGATGACTGCAGCCATGCGTCTTGGCATGCTCTCCGCCACCTTCTGACATCGTTCTGCTGTCACAGCAGCCCATTCCTGTTGCACAAATTCAAACAAATTTGCTTTGTTTTTGGGCTTGTGGTTCTCCATTTTGCATTTGGTGATTTTCCACAGGTTTTCAATTGGATTTAGATCTGGTGATTGAGGAGGCCAAGACATGGTTTTAATGTTCTGGTTCTCCATCCAGGCTTTAACTGACCTTGCCGTGTGGCAAGGGGCATTGTCTTGTTGGAAAATCCCGTCATTGGAGGCAGGAAAGAGTTTTCTAGCCCTGTGTGCCCTTCACACAGTTGCATTTGCCCTGTTCCACCCATACTGAAACAACCCCAGATCGTCACTGACCCACCCCCATGTTTTACTGTAGGGGTAAGACAGTCTGGTTTGTAGGCTTCTCCAGGCTTCCTCCTAACCAGTAAGTTGGCTGAAGTGGGCATCAACTGAAAATTGGATTTATCACTGCAGAGAACCTTAGCCAATCATCAACAGTCCAATCTTTGTGTTCCCAGCAAAGAGTAACCAGGCTTTCCTCTGCCTTTCGTTGTGGGAAGGCTTCTTCCGTGCCCTGTGTGACTTTAGACCAGCTTCAAGAAATCGGTTTTGAACTGTCCTTACTGAAAGAGTCACATTTCTCGACAGTGCCCACTAATTTTTAAGGTCCCTGGAGTTCTGATGGTGATTCCTGACACAGGAACGGATGAGTGTACGGTCATCTCATGGGGTCAAAAGACGTCTTGGAGATCTTCAGTTTTTTTTGCTACCTATCTCTCACTCACGCCAACATTTTTTCAGTTTTTCTGTAGAACAGTTAATTTGAAAATTCACAACAATAATCATTATATTTTAGCCTTAAAATCTCATTTTGGTTTAAGAGCTTCTACATCGTGGTGTATTAACCATTTCAGAAACATAAAAAATGATCTTGGTAATTACCAGTGCAGTTAATTTAGGGCACCTGTGGCATAAACCTTACATTTGGTGGTGGGGGACTGATGCACTTCATAGCATAGATGGCATCATGAGGAAAGAACATTATGTGGAAATATTGAAGCAACATCTCAAGACATCAGCCAGGAAGTTAAAGACTGGGCACAAATGGGTCTTCCAAATGGACAATGACCCTAAGCATGTTGCCAAATTATTTATGAAGTGACTTCAGGACAACAAAGTCAATGATTTTGAGTGGCCATCACAAAGCCCTGATCTCAATCCTGTAGAGAATTTGTGGGCAGAGCTGAAAAGGCGTGTGGAGCGAGGTGACCAACAAACCTGACTCAGTTACATCAGTTCTGTCAGAAGGAATGGGCCAAAACTCTATCAAACTATTGTGAGAAGCTTGTGGAAGGATACCCAAAATGTCTGACCCAAGTCATACAGTTTAAATGCAATGCTACCAAATACTAAGGAAATGTATGTAAACTTTTGACTTTGAAGAAAGTAATAAAAAATTCTCTAAAAAGTTCTCTCTCTAATTATCCTGGTATTTAGCAAATCTAATTTTGGTAATCCTAACTGACCTAAAACAGGAAAAGTTTATTCTGATTTAATGTCAGATAGTGAAAAAAAAAAAGGTTATGTGTCTTTGAGTAATAATGTATGTAAACTTCTGGTTTCAACTGTACATGCTTGCTTTGAGCCAGCTAACCCAACGGTACAAAATCAATTTCCATTGTTATATTGACTGATATTTGTAACTTTATGCTTTGCAGACAAATAGTGAAATCAACAAACTCTCTCTCTCTGTTATGGGTTGTTTCTCTGATATCAAGGGGTGAATGTGACGTAAGTTCCTCAAATTCAATGAGTCCAGATCTGAGTTCTGTTTATTCTGCTACCTAAAGATCACCTGTGACTGGAAAAAAGAGACTTCCTCCAATGTCAAGCTTTCTGCTTGTTGCTTTAGTGTGACCTTTTACCCTGAGTTTTTTTTTTTTTAAATTTTTATTTTGTTTATGTCAAGTTGACGTGGAAAACGTATCCATTCTTTCATCTCATCATGTCTAGAGTTGCTGTAATTTCCTGTTTTCAGGGCTCAACCAGAAGTGTCTTCTATCCCCAATTCATTCAAAACTTGGGTGTCGGATATAAACAAATTCCAAGAGATCATAATATTTCCATCCTTGTTACACTGCACTGCTACATGTTAGGTAAAAGAAAAAAAAAACTTTAAAAAGCCCTACTTGGCTTTGGCACTACTACAACCCACATCATAGTCTTGCTGTTGCCCCATGAGGTACTGCCTTCAATGCCCTCCTGTGTGTTCCCACAGCAAGCTTTGTTACAACAAAAAGGAGACCAGGCATTTGCTCACATGTGATGAGACACACAAGCCTTATGATCATGTCACTCCATTGATCTACAGGTGGTCACATGCTAGTATGCTACTGCAGTTAAGGATAAGTCCTGCATTGTAGCCACAAGAGGGAGGCAATACCTTATCTGTTGTAGGACACGTGGTGAAGAAATTGGTAAGTCGTAAGAATTCAGATCCTTAAAGTAATACCACCACACTGTAATGTACTCTATTAGAAAAGTGGAAGTCCTGCTTTTAAGTAAAAGTATGCAAGTTTACTCAGGAACCTGTACCAAAGCTTATTTTAGATCCCTTTACCAGGAAGGACAAACAAAAAAAAAAAACCTCCAGCAGAACCAGGCTCAATGTGATTGACCATCTGCCCCGATTGGTAGTGGTGACTGTAAATGTGCTAGAGAACCGGATAGCAGCTCAAGCATACACTCATAATGCAAACTCAATACACAAGAGCAATACTACACATTAACACTATGGTAAAAAATCATCTTTATCTAGTTGTATCTTCCTACAATGATGAGCTCTGATGTTTGTAAAGAACAGCAGAAACATTTCAGTCTTGACCAGTTCTTTGGTCAAGTATGTTTCAAGTTGTTCTTTAAAGCTCTTAGTTTATTCAGAACTAAGACCTGGCACCAACCCACCACAATAATTCATTGTATTGTATAAACTACACTTGGCAATACATCTGTTTCTGATTCTGAGAAGTACACATTAAAACAATGAGTGTTTTTTTCAGGGATGCTTCAGTTTGATGACACAAGCCACTCAATAATCAACTCAACTAAAAATCTGATAAACAGAATAAGTATCCAATTTGTGAATTATTGCCCAACAGACAGCAGAGTCTCACTTACCCACAATGCTTCATGTTCTGTGGTTTGTCCATACGAATGGCCAGTTTCATCTTGAGGTCACTGTCTGGGCAGCCTTTAGACACCGTCATCTTATGGAGCTCAGACTGCTTGGGACTGTTGGGGGTCGGGTGGAGCACAACCTGGAAGTGATCACATAACAGTATGTGAGCTACATGAGGTATAAAAAAAAAAAAAAAAAAAAGTAAAATGACCTAAATTAATCATCAAATACTTACCCTCCCCAGCTCCTTATCTTCCAGAGCCAGTACTCCTGTGCTCTCAGTAAACAGCTTCACCTTCACAGCAGGTAATGGCTGGGTGGTGGTGAAGTCACCCTGAGTACCCCAACTACAAACACAGAAACACAGGCAGGACCAAACACAAGACAGAAAGCTCTGTGTTAGAAATGATGATGATCCTGCTGCTGTTAATCACTAACAGTAGCGTCTTATAGTTTGGATGCTATTCAGAATGTGTCCAGCCAAACCAGAATTTCAATTCCATTAGTTATACCATCATATCCTGGTTCTTCCTGAGGTTCTTCCTTCCTGGTAAATGGGAGTAGTTTTTCTCTGTTAAGATTTGTTTTATAAAGTTTTGTTTTGAGTTTTGTAACTGTTATAAAGTACTTGCTTAAGGGAATCCAAAAAGATTTGTTTGGTCTCACAAATTTTGTAAAGTCTTTCTACAATGTAATTTTGCTACACTTGTTTTCTGCAGTAATTTCTGTACCAGAAAATTACTACTGATGCTATGAGTGCACCTGTAAGAAAGAGTTGAAAATAAAACATAAAATGGATAACAAAAAAGAGAAAACTGCCAAGTTAAATAAGTGTTTTCAAATGCATGATGTGAGATATCCCCATAGTCCCTGGTTCAGGCTGAAGCTGTAAGGACTTGTTTGTTGACACAATCAGACATATTATTTTAATTTGTTATTCATAACAAATGTATGTTTCACACTTTCTACATAGTTATGGTGGAACAATAAATTAGATTATGTTCAAGAAAATGTGCACCTGTGGCTTATGGTTTGAACAGTTGATCAAATCTGAGCTATATTTAGGTGAGTTTGAATTTGAATATAGATTCCACAAAGTAAATCAGCCACTTTGTGAATGGATCTCAGGAAGAGGCCCTGCTTCTGCTGACTAAAGGTAGGAGATGCAATGTGTGCTGTTGCACCTATGTGTGTGTCAAGTCAATGATATGACATGTATAATGTTAGAAATATATGAACTGGAGATTTTCATGTAAAGTACTGTCACATGTTGTCTTATTATTTACTGTAGTGTTGACATGAGGCCTGTGGCTGTGTAGACTAACGATGCTTCCGCTGGAGAAATCAATTTCACATCCCACACACACTTACGAACTCACATCCTTTACTGAGCAGAGGACACAGAAACTTGAGAACAATAGATAAACAAGACACAGTGAGATAAATACTGCTGAAGAAAAAAGCAGTTAAGTGAAGGTCAGAGGAGAAAGCTATAGAGGTTTCACAGTTGGATTTTATCAAACAACTCACCCTGACATGTCTGAGAGCCACAGAAAAAATGCCTGCACACAAACTTTGTCTGACTCCTGTACAAAAAATATAAATGTAGTACTTTGAACAAAATACACAGCCCTCTATGACAAGTTAATTTTTTGTATTTATTTTTTTTAGTCTGCTTTAAATATTGAAGCCCTAATGCTGTGTGTGTGTGTGAATACATTGTGCCATAAGTGTAAAAAAAAGTGTAATGAGAGCAATGGATCGCTGTGCATCGTGTGTGCATGTGTGCTGGTCTGCTGTACATACGTTGGCTTTGAGGCCTCGGCCTGGTCTGTCTGCAGTTTGTGTCCTCCTTCCACCTCCATGGTGCAGTACACAATCCTGTTTGGAGCTAAAGACTTCAGACCCTGTACCTCCATTATCACCACCTACAGCACACACAGGCAGATAATAACTACAAAAAAAGATGCATTTGTAAAGCAATAAATAAAAAACAAATTCATGCTTGAACAACAACTCAGAAAAGAAATGAACAGCAAAGTGACCTTTCCATTCTGTATGCTAATATATGACAGAAATGAATACACCCCTTTACAATATCATTAAAATTTCAAATACTTCTCAATTGTATCACCTCTCAATAATTGTTTTATATTTAAGCTGACAAATAGGGTTGTTCCTTGGAGGAGCAATGATCCACACACACTTCAGAAAAACGATATTGAAAATACAGGCCCTAAAGTAAAAACTCAGTGGAACAAACGTGAATGCTGTGTGATCACTGGCACACAAAGTAGAGAAACTGTCTGTGGAAGCTTGGCAGTGGAGGTATTGGAGGTATTTTCCAGGATGATAATGATCCAAAGTATGCCACCTGAGTTGAATCCAAACAACACCTTTGGGATCGTTTACAGAGAAAGGTAGAGCAACACAACTCCTCCAGGAGAGAGTGGCTGAAAAAAACAGTCTGTAAAGAATGAGAGAACAACTCTCCAGAAATGTGTTCAGCACTGGTACTCTCCATGCTGGGGAGGCCTGAGTTTGCCACCACTACAATAATATAATATGGTGTGCACCTTGGGACTTCAATGTACTGACTTTTGTTGCATTGAGTTCCTCCTGGGGGGCCTGTATATTTCATAAAACAAATCTAAACTACTACTTTTTAATGTTACATAAAACGAACTAATCTACTAAATTAAATATTTTTCACTAATATAATGTAGCTAATCTAGCAACACATTACAGACAGTATGTACATCGTTATGCTGTCTAATGACAGCATGAGCGTAAGTTATATTTGATTGTCAAGACATGAATGTTAAGATTACCACTGTGAGAGCCTCAAATGTATATTTGTGCAGCTGTCAGTCCTCTAAGTCATCACAGAGTAAGCTGCAGGGGACAGACTTGAGTTTTACCCAAGTAGAGCAGCATTCACAGCTGAACCAAACAATTCACTACATAATGCTAGTATTGTGCAGTTGTGTTCACTTTACTGACTGCACAGTTTTTTAGTCTTTCACTCCTTGTTGGGCATTTGAAGGTGAGTTAAAATGAAAATTCCAATATGGACAGAAACATGTTATTAAGAAATTAGTTTCATTCAGTATCATGGCCTGCAGTCATCTCTTTACTTGCACTACAGACTATCTTCCATGTGCATCCTCGGTGAAATGTAACAGGCTGTTGTGGACTAAAATGATCTGAGTTCCAGATACAGGAGTTTTACATTCTAGTGAAGTGAGGCATGGGAGCTACCAAGGCCTTGAGAGGCCTGGAATTAATCCTTTGTTCTTCTCTGTGATTTTGCATTGTTAGCATGATTAATGCTGGTGGTTGAACATAGTTCAGCACAGTAGGAACTCAATGCAACAATAGTCAGTACATCTTTCATTGTTCAGATTTCAGATGTCTTTGATTTTGTCAACATTCATTATGACCACTTTTATTACTACTTAATTCTAAGTTAGCAAACTTTTCTGATGCTGCTGTGGATTAATTGCCTTCAATAACACTGGTCAAATCATTACATCATTAATTGTGCCTTAAAAGAATAATTGGTTTGAGGGTGACAATAAGAACACTACCTGTTCTATATATACAAGGGTGCTTACCCAGAAACAAGGGGCATACAGAACTGTGTACTATAAAGCTTTATATCACTGTCCATGAAAACTCAACTGTTTGAAGCAATTTTAAAAAAAAGGGTGAGGAAAGCTTTAAGCTGGCTGCTGTTGCTCCAGGACAATGCACCCTTCCACACAGCAGAGGAGGCAGACGCAGCCAAATGTAGCTTAGAACTGTTGGTCCATGAACCTCATGCCTCTGACCCGGCACTGGTCAGGTCTTGTTGGCTTAAAAACTCTCCAATTTGTCTTTTACTCAGGATCTAATGAGGACAGTTCCTTGGATTCCTGGATCTTTGTTGAGGATAAACTTGCATATAGGCTGAACACATTCAATGGACATGCAATTTATCATCTGAGGAGTTAGTAGTTAGTAGTACTCTGTGTCTCCTTTTCAACTCAGAAGAGGACCTGTCTGTCAACCAATTAGTTGTGGTTAAAAATGTCTTGTCAGTCAAGAGAATATCTCAGACATTTCCTCTAAATGACAACTTCAGAGACAAATCCTGAGGAACTATCCATGGCTCAGGAGGAAAAACACTTTGAGGTGGATTAATCTGACAGCAGTTTGAATGATTTTAAAATCCCCAAATAAGCTTAATTTGTCAGTGTCCTCCAAGAAACTACATTATGCCTCTGTGTCTAAACCTCCCTGGACCATGCTGACAGATAATACATTGCTTAGGGACCTTTGTGTTACCTACTTGTTTGTGAAACACATTTCTGCCAAAGTTGAAAATGTGTTACGATCGCCACATGTTCTGCAGTGATCATTTGTATCAAAGTCAACAGTCTTTCTTTGAACATTGAAGCACCAAATGGTGCTATGTGTACAGGTATGTGTGCATTAAAGTGGGTGCATCCTGTACTGATGTTTTTTTGTTCATATTTTTATGGTGGAGCAAACTTTTCAGTTTAGTTTTGTTTTCATTTTTGTAGCCCATGTGTTATGTGAGACTATGTGGAAACTGGAAACAAATGATCCTGGAAAACAACAATAAAGAATCTATCAATCTGGGGCAGTTTGCATGGAGCATTGTGAATGTTACATTGCTTTTGTTTTGAAAAAAATAGACCAATTCAAAATTGGGATTTGACTTCACTTGTCTGTGCAAAATGTCTTACTCACCCCTACACACTTACTGGTTGAGTGAAATTCTTCTGCTATTATTATTTTTTTGAAAATACAATGCCTTGTGTGATTTAAATGGTATAAACCATTTTAGAACACTAAAATAACACAGCAGCAATAGTACCCAAAATGTGCATATACAATAAAACAGCCCTTCCTTTGCTTGTCTGTTATCTATAGGGGCACATACTGGCTGAAGTAGTATGTAGTAGTGTAGTATGTTCTGTACACAGTTTGTACTGTACGACTACAATGACCAAATGCTTCTATGCCTTTAGATTAGGTTTTTTTTGTTTTTGAAAAGGGGGGTTCAAAGTCTGTTTTATGGTAAAAATCATTTCACATTTATGTCTTAAATGTTCAACTTATGCCTCTTCCTACTATACATACAGGGCCACACAAAATATCTTAATGAACTGGGAAGTTTGCATTTACACCAACTAGCACATCCTTGTTCCCTGAAGGATAAACAGTTTTCCTTTTTGCCATCCAAGGCCAAACTGTCATTCCTGCAACCAACCTGGAACACAGTCCAAAAGCTATACTACCAGTACTTCTTCTCACCAGAAGGACCGCATCATGACTGACATCATCTATCTATTGTGTCTGTACTCCATTTAATACATGCATGCAATACATACATATACAATAAAAGAGGAAAACACACAGGAAGCACATGAAAACACCTTTACCACGACTGTTTGATAGGTGTCCACCTACCTCCAGGGTAAAGGACAGAACCACATCAGACTTGGACAGTGTGTTCTCATCCTCCTGACCCATGTCCATGATAGAAGTGTTGTGACCTCGTTTTAGCTTCTGCAGTTTGAACTCTCCTCCTTTCGACACTGGCATGCTCTCCAGGTTTGCCATCAGCAGGTTGACAGATGATCGCAGCTCCTCGATGTACATTGCCTCCATTTCTCTGGAGGGGAACCGAGGAAACCTGCCACCATGCTGACCAAAACAGGAAGGCATCAATTATTTAATGAGCATGATCCAATGAATAACCCAGTAAGAAATCAGACATTCCTAAATAATCTGTGAGAATGTATCTATATCTTTACTCTGCATTTTGCATTGCAAAGCACTTTGTCATGATAAAAAAAGATGTGAAAGATATACAAGACATATAAATACAGATTATTAATGATTAATAATATTACAAGACACAGTTTCAATACTAATAGTCAGAAAATGTACAGCAACATAAAAATCTGAATAGATCTAAAACTTCAGAGAATTTTACCTGAACCAATATTGTGCCAAAGGCACTCATTATATTCAAAGTTCAATTCCATCTATCGACCCACCCATCTGCCCTGCTATCATCCCTCCACCCAGCCATTGTTTTTCCCATACCCGAGCGATCTGGTCTGCCATTTGCAGTCGTCCGTCCAGCTCTCTTCTGATCTGAGCTGCCTGCTCATCTGGGTTGTCCAGCTGTGGAAACACGGGCACACATTGCTCTTTAGAAGAAACAAAAACCCATCATCATCATATTTTTTCTTAAATGATATTAAATAAGGGCTGCAAGGTGGCGCAGTTGGTAGCACTGTTGCCTTGCAGCAAGAAGGTTGCCGGTTCGTGTCCCGGTGGGGGCACCGGAATCTTTCTGCGTGGAGTTTGCATGTTCTCTACATGCGTGGGTTCTCTCCGGGTTCTCTGGCTTCCTCCCACACAGTCCAAAAACATGTTGAGGTTAATTGGTGATTCTAAATTGTCCGTAGGTGTGAATGTGAGTGTGCTTGGTTGTCTGTCTCTAAGTGTGGCCCTGTGATAGACTGGTGACCTGTCCAGGGTGTCCCCTGCCTTCGCCCTGAGTCGGCTGGGATAGGCTCCAGCCCCTCCGTGACCCTAATGAGGATTAAGCGGTGTATAGATAATGGATGGATATTAAATAATAATTAACAGCTAGAGCAAATGGAATTAATTAAAAAAACAAACAAATTTTTTTTAAAAAAAAGATAAAAGCTGCAAGCAGCAGTTCAGAACTGAGAACTCATAATTAGAAATTTTGTAGTAGTTTGTATCCATAACAATGTATCTCCATCAACAAAGTACCCTTTGACAAGTAAAGTTTTTAGGTCACATTTGTCACTTTGTTTGTGAAGAGGATTTCTCATCAGTGTTTTCAATGAATCTATATTCATTTTTAGAGATGGACAGTTATTTTACTTGCACATAAAAAAAACTGTGTTGTACACTGTTAATTCATGAGTTTTTTTTTTGTTTGTTTGTTTGTTTTTAAAATCAAAGGCCACATCTTACAATCCTAAAGCTTGCACATATATGAAAAATCCCTATTGAAATAAATGGGAAGTTGACCAGAACCCAGACAGAACCCAGTCATCTCTGGAACTCTGGAATATTTTACAGTAGAATCTTCATGAATTGATTAGTTTGAACATGTCACCATGTATTAGATGTTATTCCTCATTCATGAGTGTTATTCATCACTCTTGTGAGAGTTGTATTGCTGTAGTCCTGTTATATCTGTGTTCAGTGTCGGTGGAAAATCAGAAACAGCGAGCCTCTCTAACCTGACACCAAATCTGTATAATATACAGTATGTACATGAAAATACATCAGCGTAGTCAAAACAAGTTTGTGCTTCACATGGGGAAACATATTTTTCAATCCAACGTTTCTGAGCTGTGATGTTTGTTTGAGGGACTAATCCTTCGCCTGCCTGTCTTCCTGTGTCTCTGCACCCGAGCTTTGCGTCTTCTCCCCCCTCTCCTGTCCTCCATTCATAAGGAAGGAATCCCCACAGCAACCAGTAGCTCACAGCTGATTGGCTGGGTGATGGTCGACTAACAAAGAAGAATTCCAAACATGGCTGCCTCCATCAGAAATGTATAATGTTGCTGTGTGCCCTATCAGTAGAACATACGTAACAGCCGCACCAAGGCAAATCAATACAGCTGTTACTATTGATGTTAACAAAGCCTTGATATAACAGCATCTAACATGTCCCTGACCAATACCCATAAGGCATAGCCAGGGCCGGCCCTGGCAAGATTGTAGGTGGCGCCCCCTAGCATCACAGTGAATTTCACTCGCAATTTTCATACAGCAGCACAAACTGTATGCATGTAGTCAAGCTTTTATTTAAGTATAAACAACACACGGAATGAAACTGAAGAAACCAGTGACCTAAATTAAAAATACCATATAAACAAGGCTTTGTACAATTATATAAAAAAAAGTTCTATATCTTGTTTATTTATTTTCTACTATTTACAAAACAAGGGGCTGTGGACCACTGAGGAATCTGATGTAGAGCTGCTCTCATTTTATTTTAAATCATTTTTGATAAAAAGAAAGATGTTTAGTTTTGCTGTAAAAGGTTTCAGTTGTTGAATAAAAA